AACTAACTTGACATTTTGATTCACATATGTGCTATGATCATTCTTAATCATCGACCACACAAGGGATCGAACCTGGAACCTTAATGTTGCAAAGGGAACTGTGACGGAGGGTGATTGCCTATCATTACTTGCTACTGCCAATTTATGGGTGCATCCGGATGAAATGTCCCCATTGAGACAGAAACAGCTGTCCAGTACTCCCCTTCAACAGTTTTCTAACCATGGAAGGAAATTTTCTTCTTGAAGAATTCATCAACTAGCCTGTACATTCGCACACAATATATACAGTCGAGGGTTGAGAAAGTTCCAGAAGTATCTCTAACCGAATGTCACCCATGATGGAAACTTGAAATCAATCAAGCGCTTGCAAACCAACACTTGGAAGATAAAGTAGGTCAAAGTACTGGAGGAACCGACAACTTCCAACATCCACGCTGTGAGCAGTTGACAAGAGATATGCAGATATGGAGGTGAAATGGATCCGTTTTATCCTGGTTGATGTATCTTTATTGTCTTGTTCAGAATTTTGGAGTCCCTAGCATCTGTGCACATTCCATTCCATGTGTAGTCATGCTTACAGTCAACAAAACTGAGCAGCCACTTTCATTAGTCATTATGTTACGCGTAGTTGTCCAACGCAATGCAAGAACGAGAATTGATGATGTCGTTGTGAAGCTGAATGAAAGTCTGAAGTCCATTAATGAGGAGACAGCTGTCTTTTCTTGCTCTGAAAAATGCGTGTTGAATTATTCTGATATCTCTCTGTCTCGAAGTCAAATGCGAATTCTGGCAGGCACTTGGACGTAAGTTCTATGATGTGACGTCAAAAATTAGTCAGCTGAATACACAAGTCGAATTCGGGCAACTAAATAATCAGAAATTGATCTAGTTCCAGTGTCTTTTGACGATGCAGATCATTTGAAATCAACTATTTCAAAATATTGTCTCCATAACACTAATAAGAAATCTACTTTTCGTAATCCTCTGTGTACAAAAGATCAAAATCAGCTCGAAAAATTAAAGACAAACGAAAACTAGACCGTCTCAATAGCCAATGTGCTGGAATGCGTTTATCTATGAATCCTGATTTCTGTTAATTCATTAGACATTGCCAACTTCAATGAATTGATCCAGATGCAAGTGTCTTTCTCAATATTTAGACTTCTTTTAAAAAAATCATTTAATTTGGTATGAAGATTTGGAACTGAAACAGTGCGAAAGAAAGTATGGTAAAACTCGACCTCATAGTTTTATACTCACCTTATACTCTTGCAATAATCTTTAGAGTTTAACTGATTATGAGAACTTTTCAAAGTGTTTCTACAGAGCGCAGGTGTTTTAGGGAATTGTAGACGGTGGAAAATGTCAAGCAGAAGGAAGGTGAACTCATATTGTGCAAAATCAATATGTTCAAATAATATATATGTCATAATTAGTGCTCTGTAACCTCCTACTATAAGTTCCAAGGAGAAGTAATTGAGCATTGAAAGAATCATAACTCATACATTATGTTGTCAGTTTCACGTCTCGTTTGTACTTGCTTCTCCACTATCACTCTTAGCTGGCTTCTCAAATACCCAAAAATTGTCATTTCCTGTTCACCGAATCTGCACCAAATCACCCTCGGACGCCCAAATTGTCGCATCCCACACAGGTTCAACTTGATAGTCTGTTGTATGATACCACTTGAAGGTTTCCATCTCCTTCATCATCGTTTTTGGGCAGTAAGTACTTAGCAGACAGGTTCACTACCTCCCACAGTTCCTTTTTGTCTATTCTTTCCGATTTGCCACCTGTTCTTTAAAATCGAGCGGAAACAGATGCTGATGAAAGTCTGCAGTTTCCTGTTGGAAATGCCACTGGTCATCTGCCGTGCTTCGGAACCACAAGAAGCTCTGACTTGACATTAGTGCTACACATTGAGAATCTGTTCCTTGAACTAATTGCTATGAATATTCACATCGGTTTCACAATAGCAAACAACTCTCTCGCCTTCCCAATCCTGGCTGTCTTTGAAATCCTCATGCTTATATATATAATCGAGACTTTGGAAGTGAAAATCAACAAGTTGGCAGAAGATGCCACGAAGACAAAACCCCAAGTGAACACATCAAAGATAGAGGTGATGAAGATATACAACCAACAGTAACATACACCAATCATCAACAACCTCAGACAGGCTGGAGGCGAAGTATGTTCATCTGAGAGGTTTCGAAAGCCGTTTACGGAGGATTTCTGCCTCACTTTCACTTTCGAGTTCGACATTAAGTGTCAGCATCTTTTGAGGGACGACTCGGACCTGTTCAGACTTTTTCTGTAGTTTTAGATTTTTGTCTGTGAATCTCAGCGGGAAACCAATTTCTATCAAGATTCCTTGGAGATTCTGCAGTCATTCGTCAGTAGATTTCTCGGTACATATTTTCCGGATCACAGAAGAGAGAGAATATATGGGGTTTTTTGAATTTTCATGAAATCGTGCTAGATATTTGGACTACATATAGAAACGCGCTGATATCGACTGGATAAAGCAGATGGCATTATTTCAGAAAAAGATATAGAATGTAGTCGTTCGAAACTCCCTTCTTGATTCTTCCTATTTACTTGCTACCACAAGTGCAAGTGGTAATACAGCGGGAGTTGACATGAGTAGAATACTTACCTGATTTTGATTGTGTGGTAATGCAGAACCAGTTTGATGGCGAAAAATTCAACTCACCCTTAATTCTTTGTTCAGTTCTTGTAGACCTTTCTTCCATCTTTGTACGCTAGACAGATAAAAACTGGTTTCTTCCCAGCTGTTTTGAGTCTTCGGTTCGGTTGCTTTTCAGTTCAGTGCTTTAATATAAGCTTTCGGGGATATCCACTACCTATATGGTTCTTTTCAATAATCATGAGTTCCTCTTAAATCTAATTTTCTTTTCAAGAGATGGATTATTCAATCCTCCCACTATTTCTTCATTTTATGTTGAGATATAGGAAGTGAAATTAATTGCTTCGTTTATGATCCATCATAAACTCAACATGAGGATGAGTCGCAATAAGTTTTCAAACATGCTGGATGCATGGTCCATATTACCGCAAACCTGTTATCAGCGTACCTGCAGCAATACGTGGTAACCCGTAGATTTCACTTCATTCAAATCTATTCAGGAAGAGCCATGTGTATATCCACAAGAAAAAGACCCAAAGGTGAGCTCATAGCCACCTCGTCAGTTAGCCGGTTCACTTCCTAGCTTGTTACAAAAGTGTATTTTGTTTTTCCTATCACTAGTTTTCACTCCTTTGTTAAGATAGCTATAGGTTATACCTAGCTTCTCCTTTCGTTGAATATGTCTGCACTGGTTCATCTGCTCATTCAAGCTCATTCGCTTCTGCATTAAATCCTAAGCGTCCGTAGAGGTCTATTCATTGTCCTACCTATTCCTCCTACATAAGATGTCTACGCAGGTTTTCCTCCACATTTTTTTCACAGAGTTCCAGTGTTGTTCTCTATTAAATAAGTTTATTTTAAATATCACACAGGGATGCAGTATTAACAACTGGATGATGTTTCAAGCATAAATTATTGCTCATAATCATATCAATTTAGTCACATGGTTTCACAATTTATCTTATATATATTCTCTCTTTCTCCAACTTTCCCTTGTTGTTTGTTGCCACTTTCCATATCTCTGGTATAGGCATTGCGTCATTCCAATTGCACGTGTGTTCTTCCACTCTAATTTCTACAGTGATGTTGCTTAATATCTAAGATATTTTGTAATGTCGTTTTATCTTTGTTCCAGACAATTGGCTAAGAAAATGAACTTTGTGGTACTTCAAACATCCTACTGTCCTGAAAAATGGTTCTGATATAGTGAGAAGATTAAACACCTGTGTGAATCGTCTGTATAAAATGGAAAGTCTTTGAGGCTTCTGGGGAATGAGTCACATGAGACAGAATATAACCTTCCTAAGTTATCAAGCCTCACTTCGCGAATCGTTCTACATTATTCTTTGTGTGTTTTCCTCTTCCGCAGAGTTACAAGTAGTGCACACACATTGACTGCTAATGCAAGACTCAGACATACGGAAATGTAGAAGAAAACTACTCATGAAGAAATAATATAGTCACTCGAAAATTCCTGTTACCGTCATTGAGAGAAGAAGCATGACTCGAGTCCCTGCATACGATGAATGTGTCATCTACGTATCTATAGTAGGCTGTTGTTTTATTAATTGCACACTTAAGTTTTGTCCGTTTCTAGATTGGCCACAAAAAATATCAGCTTATACAGGACCCAATGGACTCCCCATGAACCTGGTGATACATTTTGTTGTTGAACTAGAATTGTATATCCTTGGTACATAACATGAGAAGTTGCTTAAATTCCATTTTTGATAGAGGAAGCAAATCAGCATGTTGACAGATGATGTCTAACGTCTCCTGCAGTGGAACTTGTGTAAATAGGGAAGTCACATCGAAGGAAACCATGAATCTATCACATACGTTAAGTTGACTGACTTCTTCAACGAATTGGAACGAATCTTTCAAAGTATGTTTGGCTAATCGTTGTCTAACAGGTTCCAACATATCGGCTTAACGACGAGCAACTTTGTGGAACGGCTATACTCTGTGTATTAATCAATCTTTTACATAAGCCAATTCTGATTAGTTAATTTCCAAAATGGACAATGACCAACCACCATATCACATGTAAATATGGTTTCGCAAGCACTTCATTACTAACACTTGCATTGACCATATTCAGCATTTCATTTTCAGCTGGCAAACACACACACAATACAACACTCTAGTTTACCGGTGCAAAATTTCTTATTTTTGAAGCGCTTCAATTTTTTTGTATAGCATAAAATAGTGAATTGGTTGAGACCACATAACAGGGGAAAAATTAATTTAATGTTTGTAAATAAACTCATCTCATATCAGAATACGATTAAAACAAAGGAAAAGTGCATAGCAGAATAAAGTGACGCGGAAAACAAAATTGTCTCATTAACACAAGGATAAATAATAATAACAGAATGTCACAATATAAAATAATTCAAAAAAGAATTCGGGCATAAAGTTATTACAAATTTAAGCAGTAAGGAATTTGTCTATGAGTGAATCTGGAATTTGTAATTGACGCAGTTTGTCAGTTTCTGTTGAAGAGGTTCTGATAAATAATTTCAATGCATATTCATTGGCTAAATACAAAAGATTGTAATAGTTATAATAAATGAGCAGTCAAATAATTGACATCAGTGGAAAACAATTGTGATGATAGAATTTATTTATGCAAACTATGATCAAGATTTGACTGCACCATCCTACCAATGACTGGGTGCCGAATGGAAAGTATACATACATAAAAGAAGAATTATATATTTCATGGAGGATTTCATCATGAGCTGACATCAGTTAGAGAACCACTGGAAAACCTGGGAGTACTGGATAGCCGTTTCGTCCTAGTTCGGGACTCTTCAGTAGTGCGCACCCATCGGGATTCGAATCCAGGGCCTTCTGGTTACAAGGCGAGCTCGTAGACCATTGAGTCAATGGGACCCGATCCAATGGTCTACGAGCTCGCCTTGTAACCAGAAGGCCCTGGGTTCGAATCCCGATGGGTGCGCACTACTGAAGAGTCCCAAACTAGGACGAAACGGCTATCCAGTACTCCCAGGTTTTCCAGTGGTTCTCTAACTGATGTCAGTTCATGATGAAATCCTCCATGCAATCAAACAAAATCCCTACAAAACCAATACTTGAAATTTATATATTTGTATAAATCTACTTGAAAGTAAAATAAATAATTCATTGAAGACGCCCCCTTGAAAATTTAAAAAACTCGAAATTTCATTACTAAACACATGGCCAAGAGAGTTTAAGCGGATTCTTGTGTATCTGTTAACAAAAAGCCTCTATATATATGACTACAATTCAAAGGTGATATACCAAATGAAATAATAACCAATAAGTTGAGAATATTGACTTAAAGAGGGTTTAATGCTGGTAAGCTGCAGCTTATATTTCCCCACAAAACCAGTTGTGAATTATGCAGTACCTAGGCAAGCCACCTCTAATTGTATCTATCAATGCAACTGCTCCTGTGGAGCCATTTATAATGGCCATTGCTCTAGGGACCTAATTTTTCCGGCTTGAATGTAAGTGTTGTTAAAACTGTCAACAGTTCTACAAAGCTAGCGCTGAGGAGTCTTCCTCTATCATCTATCTACCGAAGGCCTCTACATACCGAACACTCCAAACAGCAGAGGTTATTGCAGTTCATCTAAGTCCACCGGAGCTCTGTGTGTAAAAGGAGCACATCCAAGCACTATTGCCACCCTGACCTTCTGTCGAGGCTATTCATTAATAAATTCTGTGTTACTTGCCTTAATTTATCTTATATATTCAGTTTATTATTACATTTGTATGCATTTTATAATTAACTGATGCTTTTGAAACGTAATCTGTCCATACTGTTGACTCAGTGTAATTAAAACCACCATTAATATTGTCGATAACAATATTTCCTTAATTATTACTGCCATATGAGTGCAGAAAGTGATGACGAATTTATTGAAAATGAATATTCTCTATGATTTAAACAACCTTTTAATCAAATCATTCCAATTTCTTCTTTTCGCGAATTGGTCGATCATTCTGGCTGTAATTTAAATTTCTATTCGCTAACCTGCGTCGGTGGCACAGCGGTTAGGACGCTTACCGACCATGCACATGGTCCGCGGTTCGATCTCCGACCGACCACTCCTTTACCTTGATAAGCCAGTAATAGAACTGGCAAAGAGGGAAGGTTGGGCATGAAGCTAGCAACCCCATCCTGTAAGAATAATCACCACTGCTACAGAAACTTCAAGCCTCTAGCTTGAAGCCCTATGTTCCACTGGGAACGTGGAGGAATAAAAGAAAACCTACTAATCTGACCTGTGCTAATGACCTCACTGTCATTACACGGTACTTGGTGGATTATGTTATTAGTCCTCAGTGGATCTATCAGATCCTTAATCTAACAAGGTTTGTCTTTGAGTAAGTTAATTGGTTTAGACGCCGCACTAATTCTAGCCTTATTTTGAATCTTACCTAAGGTCTTTGGTCTTCTTTCCCTATTCTGTAATACTATCGAGATTTTCACTTCCTTATTATTTATTTTATTTGCATTATTACTCCTACTTTTTTAATATGGGTTCTAATACACTTCTGAATAACATCAGGGTGAAGATGTTCTTTCCTGGTAAGACAAATTCAATAAGACACAATTCACTTTATGTTATTCTCGCGTTACAAGTTGAGCCTTATGGTGTTTCTAAACATTTCACCTGAATAGTCGTCCAGTCTTCTGTCATATAAGTAAGTCAGTTTACTTTAATAAAACTTACCAAAGTCCTGAAAAGATTACTGACTCCTCATTTCATTCGGCCTTCTTTTTCAATATAAAACGTTTACAGTAATTCTCCAGTTGTTTAGCATAGAGCCATTCATTGTAGTACTTGCTTTCTTGGTGACTAAAACATTTTCTCGGAAACAATGTCAAATAATCAGGCCGTAATCTGGATGTATTACAATACTCAGTGTCAGATTTTTTAATATTTTTGAGTAAATTTGTTGCGTCCTCATTTCTGTTCGCAGCTACTGACTGTCCAGAGTTTCTGTTGAAGACTTTGAACAGAAAAAAGAAACAACAAAGCAATGCAAAGTAAAAAAACTATTTAAAAGAAATATCTCAATAATTTTCAAATAACTTCTGGTTAAAAAAATATACAGTTCTGAGTTGAAATGATGTGAAATATTCACTTAAGTGCTTTACTTTCAACCAGTGCCTTCTGGATTTCACTCTTGTGCCACTTATTTTAGCGTTAGCAAATGAAAAGCATTTTCAACCCTAAAAACGAAAAGTATGACTCATAATCTGGTACATGAAAGTCTGCTCCTGGGGATTACTTAGTTTATTCTAAATCTACATCTCACCCCACCGATGATATTCCTGAATATGATGGACTAGATCATGGAGGAGACAGTCAGGAGAAAGAAGGCAGGCATACATTGAACCTTGCAGAATATACTGAAAGATCTGGACTTCGTGAATGATTTATGTCTTATTTTACACAAACTCAAAGGTCTGCAGACTCAAAACAACCAGCTGACAGCATAGACAATGAAGATAGGAATTCAAGTGAACACCGAGAAGACAGAGTTGATGAAGATGCCTATCCAACGGCAACATGTGCCTATAACCGTCAGTGGGAGAAATATGAAGGGAGTCACCTCTCTCACTTATCTAGACAGTGTCGTTTCAACCACAGACGACGGTGAGGATGAGGATGGTAAAGCTATCCAGGGTCCGAAAAGCGAGAAAGACTCATTATTCTGAAGTCAATGCGGAAATCTGCTGCACTCAGCATAATGGACAAGATTCGAATTTTCACCCCTAATATCAAGTGAGTGCTTCCATATGATTCAGAGACTCAGTAGACGCATCACCAGAAGCATTTCCAATAGGCTTCAAACTATCACCAAGAGCCGGTTATGAAATCCAACAATTCTCACAATGATTTATATGATAAGTCGTGGATATTACGAATAGATTAATGTTTCCCTAAGCTCAACAATCAATCCATCTAAATTAAGTGAAACCATTATTACCAATACAGATACTGTCTAGATTGTAATAGAATCAAAACATTTCTTGCTTCATAAGTGTGCACTGTGAGTGGCTTTGGTCTAGTTGTAACAACAGAAGACAAGGGCCAGGCAACAGAACGTTTATTACGGAAAATCAACACGTACTTATAGATTTTAATGTACATTATTGTAGGTTAATGTTAGTAGAAAATACAGTCTGTTGATTGGTTGTTTCTCACACAAAGTTAACCTTGCATCTCTTGTGGCTGTGTCAGTTCATGTATATGTTAACTGTATTCGCCTGTCCATCTTGACCTTGTTTTCACATGACTAACATTGACCTCAATTACTGTCAACCAATTTGGCTAGCAACCATCTCTCACCACATAGTCACCTTCAGATCCTTATATTCACATCTTGATATTGGAGTGAAGCAGAACACTGTTCATGATGTTCATATTTAGATAAGAACTTCAAATATTCTGCTAGTATTGAAATTTCAGTTCTTCTCGTTTGTACAATGGTGAGTTTTTCCTCCTGTCTCGCGGATGGACCCGTCTCCATTCTAACTCAAGAAACTGTCTTTTGTGTCAGTGATTCAGTGTGGTAGGACGTCTGCCAAACACTCACATTTTTCGGATCCTATTCCCGATCAGTGTATTCCTAAACACCACCAAGCTGGCAGTAAGCCCAGGAAAGTAAGAAGGTTGACAGTGAGGCCAGCGACCCATACCCCCGCAGAAAAGACAAAACCACTGCTGAAACTTCAAAACGAAAGCCTGAAGTTTAAGATTCCATTCGGAACTCAAAAAAATGAAGAAATTGGACTTTAGATCTAGACATACCAGTTGAGTATTTTTAAAGTATTACTATTACAAAACTTTTAAAAATAAAAGGTACTCGGGTAGAAACTTCTCAGATTTAAAAACATTTGTATTCTAGACAAATATGCAATAACTTACAGCGTTTGACTTTTGACACAATTATTTTAACACGAAGACAGTACAGAACAAATTCAATAATGGCTGTAATAGCAGAGAAAGGCACTGGAAGAATCGACCGGTTACTATACTCTAACACCATAGAAAATATATTAAATTTCCATAGTTCAATTGAATTTTCTTCAATTTTTTCAAATACATTACTGAAATTAAATTTTTTTCAAATGAAAAAGGGACGAATGAAATGAACTGATTAGAACATATATTGGAAAGACAAAAACGCGATCAATTCAGATACAGGTACTATTTTGAAACTCGTTATAATTTAGGATAGTTATCCAAGATGTTTTTATGTTCATTTACAGTGCAGAGGATTTTCAAATGTTAGTTTGTAGGAATTTGAGTTATTTCAGTATTGGTGACAAACTAACTTCAATTACAGAATCAATGAAAACTAAAAAGGGAGTAGAGGATAGCACTGTTTCGCCACAGTTTTGGACTCTTCACAAGTAGACAGAAAAGAATAAGAAGCTCAGGAAACTGTTTTCTTTTCGGCAATTTCATTCTCAAATGCAGCTTTTCAGTCGCATAGATACAATTATTAATTAATTCCACATCATAACGAGGAAGATTAAGGGTGATAATAATTTTCAACTTGGTATGAAAGTTTGGAAATACACTGACTTTAGTGGGTTTTTGTCTACTTTGTAAATGACTATGAATGATGAGTCAGTTGAGACGGTGTGGCAGGTTTTGACGAGGCATTCAATTGTGGCACTTCTGAGTGAATCAGTGCCTCCTCTTTGCAGCCATGCTGGATAATGTTCTTTAACACGACCTATGTACCTAGCTCCTCAGGAGCAGGTGGACTGATTTGTGTGGATTGGCAGGGTCATACGTGGAAGTTTGTCCTTCACACTGCTTAGAAGTCGTGGATGACTAGAAAATGTCATTCTTATTTTTGAGCAGGAAAGGTCTTCTTTAAGGGACAAGAGATTCATCGCTTTAGGATATCTGCCGCTACATTTCTCCTGAAATTCAGATTCAAATACGGCGTTTTCTTTGCTACTCAAGTGCATTCTTCTCTTTTTGGCTGTGGTTGTACAGCCTTAAAGAATTAAATCTCCTGAAAGCTATCTTTGCTGAGCTTCTTGTTCGTTTATGTCTAATGTTCCAATAGGTATTTTCTGCAGTATTACTCACTTATGACCTCAAGAGTAATCGGACCTAAGACCTTCAGGTAACCTGATGAGAGTGTTGACCATTGAGCCATTGGGACAGAATTCAATGGCATATCAGCTCTAACTTCTGATAATTTGCGGTATATAGGACAATCCCTAGCCAGTGTCATAGGTGAGTATCTCACTTCACATCCAACCTGGTGGACCACGCTCGTCACGACTTCCCACTAGAACCTCAGGCAACTTCATCGTGTAATAAGTCACTAGTGAGCACTAGATTAATTTTCAAGTGTTAGTTTGTAGGGATTTGATAAATTCTAAGATCGATCACCAACTGGTTTACTAAATATTAAATTTTAGTGTTTGATCACAGTTTCTAAGCTGCTTACACCCTATTTAGACTCACTTCCTACTACATAAGCTCATGCTGTTACGCATAATGTGTGTATATTTATGCATTGTCAGGACACTTCAGGTCGTATGATTTTTTTCTATTGGATATTTAAAGCTTACATGAAAACAAGTACATAAAAAGCAAAAAAGGTTTATTATTGGTAAAGTTACAGATTAGACACGTACAAGTGCGAACGTAACAATGACCCTGGAACACTCCATCATAACAAGACTATGAAACCGGGTAAATGACACTATATTCAAGTTTCACAGCTGATTGATATCAGTTAGAGAACCAGTATAAACCAGCAAGTAGTATCGGACAGCTTTTCTTATCGTTATTTGGGATTCATCGGCAGTACACACCCACCGCGAGTGTTCGAACTTAGGACCTTCTGGCTACAAGGCCAGCTCGTGGACAATTCAGCCAACTGAAACATGATCCATGGAAAGAGTATTGAATCAAGTATATGGATATTAAACAGGATACCTGATTATTTTAAAGCTATTGTTAGCTTAGAAATGGATTAGGAAAAGATTAATTTCTGGGTGAGTTAGGCACCCAAATTTACTTCCCAGCTCAGTTGCTGGTCTCAAGGTTATTTATGCATTAGCGACTTTTGAATGCCAATCTTCTAACTTTGTCACGTTAGTCTGGATAACATGAAATGTATATAATATGGGCTTATCTGTAAATCCTCAACACTTACCTAAAGATTGCAATCAGTAAATTCATCAAAAGTATTGCAGCAGTCATTAAATAAGCCGCTAAAAATAATGGACTTAAAATGTTAAATGCAGGACACTCTTCACCAATCATAGTAACATTTGAACAGCCTTCTTTTTGAGCTAGAAAAGAAAATAGTGACAATTTTTCACGTAAAATGAATAAAAAATTATGATCTGAGAAGGCATGAATGAAAAATAAGTGATTGTCTAAAAGAAATACATAGGTAGTAGTCTTTGAAGTGAGCAAGTAATATATTGTTGTTAACCTCCTGGCAGTAGTATTACTATTAGTAGTAGAGTGCATATCTCAAGGGAATAAAATATTGTTCACTTGATACATTATATCGTTTAGTAAATTCCTTATTTGTAGAAGGCAGACACAAGGTATAACTAAAAGTTCAACACAAAACCCCAGACAAAAATCTGATCTGTTTTTGGGGTATAAAATATGAAAGTAATACAATTTTGATTATTGAAGAAAGAATACTCTTTTCGATAACTTCTACAGTTATACATCCATAATAATTTATAAATTTTCAAGATCTTGTTTGTAGGGATTTGATTGGTTTCAAGTTTGATCTCAGACTGATATCAGTTGGTGAAACATTTTAAAACCAGCAGGGAGTAGTGGACAGTTGTTTCGTCGTAGTCTGATCATTGAGTCAGCTGCCCGTGGCCGAAAGGTCCACTAGCCTGCCTTACAACAGGAAAGTTGTGGGTTCGAGCACTGGCGGTGGGTGCGTACTGCCAATCAGTCCCAGACTAGGACTCCTTGCTGTTTTCCAATGATTCTCAAACTGATATCATTCCATTATCAAACTTGGAATTATAGAATTATTATTACTGAAAACATCAAATCAATAATATCCATAGATTACAGTTCAAAATAAATACACTAACAGTTCTACATTAGATCACTTCATCCAAACAGACAACAAAGTTTGCTCACTGAAGGGTATTTTACTATCACATATCGGATACTGAATAAATTGCTAAAAGCCTCTAAATACTGAACACTCTAAACATCAAAGGCCATTGCAATTCTCTTAAAACAATCGGAGCTCTGCGTGCAAAAGAGGCAGGTTCAGCCATTACTACTAACCTGACCTGCTGTCGAGCCTATTAATACATAAATTCTGTATTATTTCTCTTAATTTATCTGATATTCATTTTAGTAGGTGTTAAATTCATGTATATTATCACCTACAAATGCTTTGGAACTGTCATCTACTCATCTTATTTGGTTTAGTGTCATTTAAAACAGTAATGTTGTTCAAAATATCAATAATTCTTTAATAATTATCGTGGATATATAACTGTAGAACCTGATGATAAAAAAAGCTATCAAGATTAATATTCTTTCTTTACCAATCAGTCTTTTAAAATGTTTAATTGGCATCCTTAGTGTATTCTGATTGCGTTATTATTATTATTGTTCCCTTGGGCTCCTAGTGGAACATAGGGCTTCAACTGAACGTCTTCACTCGCTTCTGTCTTCTGCTGTACTTCTCACTTGCATCCATGGTAGTCCATACTGTTTCAACTCTTCTTCACACGATCTCCTCCATGTCACCCTTGGACGTCCCACTCGCCGCTTCCATTTCGGTTTCCACTCGAGCTATGGCCTGACGCGCGATGTCACCCAGCGGTGTCCTCAGCGAGTGTCCAATCCATCTCCACTTTCTCCTGCACCTCGCCTAGATTACTAGCTCCCTAGCTTCTAGCCGATCCCAAGCCCGGATAAAGAGGGACGGTTGAGGCGTGGTGCTAGCAACTCCACCCCCAAAACTTAACCAAATTGCTACAGAAACTTCAACGCACAAATATATTAAAAAATTCTGATTGCGTTATGCATTCTCCTATATCTTCTGTTCTGCATAAAAAACATTTTGCTGTTTGCCTGTTTTACTGTTTTTTACAGAAACACACATTCTTCAGTCACCTAACCTTTTTTATTGTTATAATTTTCCTTGTTAAACTTTGTTTCGATCCAAAAAACTTTGAACTCTATCATTTTGGATAGTGTTATTAGAAGATGGAGATTATCGAGAAAATGTGATGTGTAGGCGCAATACATTTTGAACAATCTGATCCCCCACACATTTACTTGTCAAGTCAATTTATACGGAAAACAAAGACCAATTAAAATACACAAAGTGACTACGTTTGGTTATGTAATCAGATAAGGATTACCAAGGTAAGTTAAGAATAATAACAATTTGTTTTTGTACACTCAGGGGAGTTGGCTGAAGTTTACAAGAAGCCAACGCCTCAGCGTATTTCAATTAGCTCCCTTGATGGTTTTCAAAATTAACCTTAGAAGCCCTTTCGACATCAATCTTGAGGTTCATTTCGATTAGACTTCCAGCTATAGACGAAGTTAGTAGTCTGCCACCTGAGTCTATGTATGTGTCCCCCCCCCCCCACACACACACACGTAAACTGGTATATAGTGCGCTATGTGATATACTTACTCGTGCATTTTTGAGGTTCGCAGTGCAGCATACTTTTGGTTTTTCCAATAATTATAAGTCTAGCTGCATTTTCGGCTCTGAGGATGGCGCAGTTTAGTCTGTGTCTCAAAACCATACCATTTACTTCCCCATTGTATGGTAATTTAATGAAAACATCTCTCTTAGGGACAGAATAGGTTGTGGGTTTTGAAACTAACTGACTTCTACACCGGTTTGAAAACTTTAAAGAATAGCTGTTTTGAACAAAAGCATCCATCAGTATTTTATTTTTATCCTCTATAAAATCAGCTAAACAAATACTCTGAATCCCAAGTTTGACCACGGATTGATATCACTTAGAGAACCATTGAAAACCAGTGAGTACTGGATAGCTGTTTCATCCTCGTTTGGGACTCACCGGCAGTACGCTAGCTAGTGACTGGCTACAGGACGGAGTTTCCTGGAGTTCTAGTGAGAAGTCATGACCAAGGGGGTCATCTTGTCGGGAGTGAGGACAAACGCTCGCCAGTGATATTGGCTGGTGGTTGCTCTCAAATCACTAATTGGTAGAAGTTAGAATTCATGGGCCATTGAGTTGGGTCCCAGTGACTGAATGGTCTAGGATCTTGCCCAGTGGGTGCGTACTGCCGATGATTTTCAAACTATAATGAAACAGCTGTCCAATAGTCCCTGGTTTTCATTGGTTCTCAGACAGACATCAGTCCGTGGTTGAAAATGAAAAACAAATCAAACCCTACAAATTAAGTGTTGAAAAAAACTGAATTCTCTTGAATAAACACTTCGTCAAGCAAAGCCTCTCTTATACTGCAGTGGACAAAAGCTGTTAAAATCTATCCAAGTAGGTTTTCTGTGAACTGATAGCTTAAGTGAACAATCTTCTCTCCGACTTAGAAGTATTTTTAGAACTGCTGTCTGGTTGCGACTTTCATCCTTGCATATAAAACTTATATAATTCTGTGAGAAACTAAGTCTATGAAGTAGACGACTCGCATCTACATGATCATAACATATCAAAATAATATAGTGTACATATCTGCTATAGAAAGACACTTCAGCAATTGAATCAAGGGACAGGTTTCGGGTACAAGCCATATAAACATCCGCAAACAAGTGTCCTAACTGACTCCTCATAGCAACACCATCGACTTGTAGAAAATGTTCAACTTCAAATGTGAAATGGACGTTGTCAGTACATAATAGTAATAAATCTTTCAGATAAGTTAAAGGAAAAGGGAATGAAAAACAACCAGAAGACATATAGACACAAAGAATATCAACGGTCTTAAGCAATGGTATATTAGTAAACAAAGAATTAATATCAAAAGAATACATATTCCTATCTTTTATGTTCATATCTACAAGACAGTCAACAAGGTCAAGTGAATATTTCAAGGAGAACTTACATAATTCCTTGAGTACTGGGCTTAAAATGTCAGCTAACTATTTTTCCAATTTATTTGCAGCAGAGTGACACACTGATAGAATTGGATGTGATGGATTTTCAACCTTATGAATCTTGAGTAATCCATAAAAGTTTGGAAAGTCAGATTCCATGGGTTTCAATGAATTAAACTCACGTTTTTCAATAGCATCCATGCCACGAAGTTTTACTTAACAGGATGTTACTTTTCCTTCAAATCTTCTAATATCATCAGAAGGGACATCGGCTAGGAATTCGCTTTTGTCATTAAGAATGGATAACATTTTTGTTTTATAACCACATTAGTCCATTACAACTGTACCAGATCCTTTAACGGGTCTCAGGATAACTCTGCCAGATCTGTTACGTAATTCCCTAGAGGATTGAAATGGTTTGGTGTCAAAGTGCTCTTTTTATTTTCTATTTAAATTACAGAACTGATGTACTACATCTATCACTTTAACTTCCAACTGGCTTTGATCATCTGTCGATGTAGGAACTAAAGGGCTCAAATGATCATACAAATTTTCAAACTTGGAATCAATCCCTAAGGCTCAGATATTGTTTAATGAAATAGAAAAATTGAAGCCAAATTATAGCGCCTCCTTTTCATGTACTTGAAGTTCATCTGATGATAAATTTATCCCATATTTATCAGGACTTAATGAAAGTGAGTTTAGCTGATAATCACTGATACAAGATCCAAGCAATTTCAATCTAGTATTCTCTTTCGTCTTATTAACGGCAGAGCTACAAAAGTCAATGAACTTGGTTTGGCAAATAATGGAAACATCAGACAATATATATTTGAAGATAATAAATGGATTTCAATTAGTCCACATGACTTCTCATAGGAATTGTCGATGTGAGACTTCGTAAGACGAATAAGATTTGCTTGCAGATTAGAAGATCGGTGAGATTTTTAAATTACCTTCGGAAATGTGTGACTTGAAAGACAAGATTTATAAAACTTCAATTTTACTTTTTCAGATACTACTTTACACTTAAGGTTAACAAACTAATCTAACTGTTTAATAGTGCATAGAGGGAGTCTTCTTTTCAAACATTTAAAACAATTAGTCCTTTTTATAAATTTGGATAGTGTTATTAGCAGACGAAGATTATCCGAAAAAATATGATGTATTTGCATAATCTGTTTTCTAAAAAAACATTCGCTCACAAATAATCAGTCCAATCAACTTTGAATCATTTAACAACTTAAATCATTCCGGAACTATGTTACTTATGGTCCTTAGCAGTGACGCCTTGTCATCGCGTATTTCAAACCCCTTTTATATAAATAAAATTTTTGGATTGTTCAAATTGTCTATCCAGTTGAGAAGAAACCGCAAAATGATAAAGAATGAGCTCATATTATCCCGCAAAATATTCGCCCTTCTTGTTTTATTCAGGTTTACTTATTGTAAGAATGATATGAAGTTTTTATGAAAAAGACCTTTTGACAGCATTGAAATAATCTATATTCTGACTGCCATGAATAGTGGTAGAATGCTTGATTGAATTCTACTAGTTTTCCAAATACTTAAAGACATATACAGGACTCCTCGCGATATCCAGCTGTCGGCCAGAGGACGTGTATACTGCTCAGCAGTTTGCTCCATCCTCCTTTATGGCTGGTGTGAGACGTGGCCACTGAAAATGGAAGACATGAAAAGCCTGGCTAGCTGTCTTTGATCATTGGTGCCTGCGTTCTATCTCCTGTGTTAAGTGGTATAATAGGGTGAACAATATTGAGGTTAGGCGCCTGTCGAGTGCTAGGTAAGGAGGCGGAAGCAATCGACGAGGTTGTGAGGTTGCGCCGATTAAGATGGATGGTTAGGAAATGTGTTACGCACATGCCTAGCCATCGTCTTCCTCGATAGGCAGTGTTAGCTGACATAGGATGGATGAGGTTGGAAAAGAGCTGGTGGTGGTCAAACCAAAACATGGCTTCATCAGTCAATGAAATCCATAACAGTCAGTTTAAGCCAGTCATGTCGAAAGGTGTAGACTTCCTGGTTTAGGTTCTGGGGATGGTAAAAACCAATGAAGGCGGGAGACAATTGCTGATATGGCTCAAAATCGTTCTCAATGGCTGGCGCAGATGTATTCACTCTTTTTGAATGATCATATCCAATCAAAATTCTATTGTTCTTCCATATTAATATTCTTTTTGCTTCACACTTCTGTTTATTATCTCTCTTTTGAATCTCTCTTTACTCTCTTCTCTTGCTTTGTCTGCTAACTGAAGTGTGACAACTCAAACTGCTGCACATTTGTGCAAAGTTCTACACAGAAACCTATCAGTCATTCCTCGTGTAATACACCAGAGGATCAGCTCAATATTTCTTGATTAAGAACGCTGAAAATTTTCACGAGACCGGAAATTCATAATCCACACACACAACACACTTAACTTACCAAAAGCATATTCCAGTGAAATTTCACCGAATAAATTCCAATAAGGATAGACAAATATATCACGTACTGCTGCCCAATCAAAACTGGAACGATATGGATAAAGTAGAACTTGTTGCGATACACCATAACCAATAAGTATAACGACCATAATGAATAGGAACATGAGTAATTCAACAAACATGCCACGAATCATAACTAATTTAGGACCAAGACGAGGATGATGTGAATATAAAGTGTATATTCTCAAATAACAACCGATCACTATGTTGAAAAGAGAAGAAGAAAAGTACACACAAATTGTATAACACAGAAGTCAACCTTTAGTAAACATGATAAAATATTTATTCAATCGCGAATATAGTCATGAGTATTACCTGCTGAACAGTCTCAAGCTGGAATGAATTAGCTGTCCAGTACACCGAGGTTTGTGAGCTGGTGATTCAAGGGTGGAATGTCTACCAGCAATGCACCTGGTGTAGGCTTGATTCACGGCAGACTAACTCCTAGATCTAGACCAGCCGATGGTATTCCGGGAAAAAAAGGAAGATTGGGTGTGAAGCTAGCAATCCTACCCCGTTAATACAACCTCTACGGCTGCTTAAACTGCAAAGCTTAAAGCCTGAAGCCCTATGTCCCCATCAGAACAAAAAAGAATACGAAGAAAGATGGAAAGAAAATAGTTGATTTGTTTAGTCGCTTAATATCACATTTTTAAAACAAGATAATTCTAATTACCATACTTCGTAGAAACCTACCTAGTTGATTCCTATCTAAACAGTAAAAATCAGGCTAAAGTCTAGATTTAGACGACAAAACCATTTTTGAACAAAGCAAGAACTACAGTTTCTGAAGAATAAAATGGTACCATCTTTTATTTCGTTGCCTTCTCGTCAGCTGCTTACAGGCCGAAGACATTATTAAATATATCTACAAAAACAATTTTGACATACTTTCACAGAGTTCATTTTAAACAAAAATCAATCGACCAATATATGTGTACAGTAATAATATATATATGTAGTATTAAACACTATTCCAAACAATAATGGTCATACACAATGGAAACTTTTCAGAATTACGCATTCAGATGAAAGTAAGATGAAAATATCCAGTTACCAGGGCAAAGAAAGATTGATGACCGCTTCTTTCTGGAGGCACAATTCAGGTTTCAAGCACTTTATTCTGCAAAAACTGTAGTTCTTGCTTTGTTCAAATTCATCAAGGGGACTAAATGTGTGAAACCGTTTTTATCTTTATTAAATGACCCTTAATCAATAAGTTCCTCAATTTATGAAAACCGACAACAAAACTTAAGTTCGAAGACTAATATCACTGTGTAATGGTTGGAGATAATCGGCAGGAAACTCTGGATCTAGGTCTCATGGTTGTCAGCACACGTGAGTAAGGTTTATCTCTATCTTGATGCCCCTTTCTTGATATTTTGCAGTGAGCTGTCCCAGATCAAGATTGATCTCCTGTCCTACTATGATGGCTGCATTGATTGGTTACCAGGAAATAACTTAGTTTGATGACCCTACTGCAAACTGGACTGACAGAATTAAGTCAGCGCTAACGCCAAGGATTAGACGTATGCGACACTTAAGAAACTGAGGTTATGCAGAGAAAATTATTTAGTTTGAATAAATCAGGAACAAAAGAGTGAGCAGAATGACATGACATCAAATTCTCTGGTTCTTATCAGTTCCACACAACCTAAAACAGCTAAATATAGATTTACAAGGTTTTCACATATTTTAATTAAAATTTCAGAAACTGGGAGCCATTAATACTGGGCAGTTGTCTCATCAGTGTTTGGGATTCTCCAGTAGGACGTACCTGTGGCCCCACCGGGGACCGAAACCAGATTTCCCAGAATACAAAGCCAGTTCTTTGACCATTCAGTCACTGGGATGCAATCCAGTGGCCAAGCAACTCTAACTCTGATTCCTAACCTGTGACCTGTTGGTCCTGGCTTCGTCATGATTAAGAGTCCGAAACTAGGAAGAAACAGCTGTTCAATGCTCCCAACCTTTCAGTGGTTCTTCAACTGAATTCATTTACTGATTGAAACATGAAATCAATCAATTCCTTGCTGACCAACACTTGAACATTAATATGGAAAGAACAATGCCTACATCTAAATAGTTTTCGTACAAATAGCTTTAAACGATGACTAGTCAAGACCCTTTCCTATAGAGCTAGGAGATTATGCTCTATGATAAATTAGAGAAAGAATTTACAATTCTCGAAAGGATGTTGTAAAGCAATGATTACCCTCAAAGATTCATTAACGAGTACGAAGGTCTGAAGGCTCAAATGTCAAACAAATCACAGTGGAAGAAAGCCCATCCACTTGATTTTAAAGGTAAAAATATTACAGCAGTTGTCAACAAAAGATTGAGGACATCACTAACCAGAGCTTTTCCTGCAAATAAGCTGGCTCCCTTCTATCAAACAATATGCACTTTGGTGTAATCAAAATTCAAAAGATATCCTTCTCATGTTAACTCCAATTGTATATACAAATTTACATGTATCTGCGGGAGCAGTTGCATTGGAAGAACAGAAAGAAAGGTATACCTACGATTTTCTAAAAGCGTACTAAAAGGCCTATGTCTAAAGGGAACAAATTCTTTAAACAGTGCCATCGCCAGGCATCTCCTTGATACGGGTCATGAGGTGGAAGTAGCAAGATTGTTCAAAATTACCAATAGGCAAAAAAGCTCAATTCTCCCTTAGTTCACTGAAGCAATCTCCATCAAGCGCTTGAAACCCGATTTATGTGCTTAGAAAGAAGAAGTTATCAGTCTTTCCTTGCCCTGGTAACTGGATTTTTTCATCCTCTCTTTCATCTGATTACATAATGTCGAAAGTTTCCATTGTGCATGATCACTATTGTTCGGAATAAAGTGTTTATTATTACATATATTATTATTATTGTGAGCATATACTGACTGGTTGATTTTTGTTTAAAAATGAACTCTCTGTGCAAGTACGTTAAAATGGTATCTGTAGATATACTTAGTAATGTCTTGGGCCTGTAAGCAGCTGATGAGAAGCCAAAGAAATAAATGATGGTACCACTTTATTCTGTAAAACTTTTGTTCTTGCTTTATTCAAATTCATTAAGGGGAATAAATGTATGAAATATTCGTCAGTATGTTTGTAATTAGTATTTCCTCAATCATCGACAAATAATTCGAATTCATGAATATCATTGATATTAATAGTAGTGATAAGGTAAATGAAAAAGAAGCTTTAAAACGAGGCAATTTTTATCAGTGTTATATCACTACTAGCTTACACGTTATCACATAGCATGATTTTGCATAGATGAATGTTTTACTCAAGCCCAGACGTAACAATGCGCTAACTGTAGCTAAACAAACTAAGAGTAGATCAGATTTACTCCAATAGTAATGATTCCATCGTAAATGAAATTGTTCGAATCTCCCATCGTATGATTTAACAATCTATAAAACAAAATGGACATTTAAATCGGTTCTGTTACTCTACACCATTTGATAAACTCGTTCATGCAAAATCCTGGCAAGTGAACAGCCTGCAAAACATTTCCCTTTATTTTTAATTTAAATATTTGTGTGTAAATGTCTTCCGTTTCAGTGATTTTCACAACGTGCATTCTTTTCTGTCTAAACCTAATAAGGCAGTAAAGTCCTGTGTCTACCATGACATTCAAAAAGAAGTCGTCATCTTACTCTACCAGTTGATTTACGACGTCGTGAAGACTTAGTGAAGTGATTTACTTATTTGGAAAGGGCTGACAGTGGATTTCAAGATGCGGCTATCATCACCTTCAAATAAGTTAGGAGGACTGAGCAAAATAGCAAGGAACAAGCATGATGGAATTAAACAACATTCTATACAAATATTTGAAATCATTAAATTCCATCCCCATTCAACATCCCCCTCCAGCTACTTCAGGCTGGACGTCTGAGTACTATCATCATTCTCCACACTAGAATGCACGTCTCATAGCCTAGTACGTAAATATCTATCTTCTTAAAGTGAATTTTGGGAATTACTAATTAAGCATTCATAACTGATAATCCACAAGTAGAGCTAACTTGTAACAACCTTCACAATCTGAATAAAAACGGATTTCAAGCTTGATCACTGACTGATATCAGTTAGAAAACCATTAAAAACCAGGCAGTACGTAACAGTTCCTTTGTCCTACTTTGAAACTCTTCGGCACCACGCACCCATAACCTCATCGAGGATCAGATTTGTGACCTTCAAGTTATTAGATAAGCTCATTCATCAATGGGATGGAGTCCAAACTAATCTGATGCTCACGAGTGACTGACTACAGGAAAAAGTTGCCTGTAGTTCTAGTGAGATGTTGTGAACAGTAGGGTCCAGCAAGTTGGGTGTGAGTAAAAATAATCATTTATGACATTAGCTGGTAGTTGCAGCATATATCGCTAACCAGCAGATGTTAGAATTCATGGGCCATTGGATTCCTTCCCAGTGACTGAATGGTCAACGTGCTCACCTTGTAACCTGAAGGCCCAGGATTCTGTCCCTGCTGGAGTAATGGGTGTGTACTATGAAGAGTTACAGTCAAGAAAGAAACAGCTGTTCAGTACCCCCTACTGGTTTTCAGTGTTTCTCTAACTGATATCAATCTGTTATCAACCAACTGCTTTCCAATAAACTCACGCTTAGAAAGAAAATGGATTTCTGCATCGTAAAAATTACAAAACAGTATAACTTCTTCAGTGTATACCTCCCTTTCTTTATATTTCTGAATATTCGTGCATCTTTTAACAGGATATTGCAGACATTCATCAACATTTGTCTTCACTGAATCCACACTGAAGGCTAGATGGCCAGCTGGAATGCATAAATAACAAGGAACTCTGACAGGCAGCGAACCAACCAAGAAGCTCTCGTCCAGCAAATACACAGAAATAATAGGAGATGAATTGGACATACGCTGAGGATACAGTTAAGTGACATCACACTCCAGGCTAGCCCTTAAGTGGAACTCGAACAGGAAATGATGAGCTGACCACTTGTTCGAGGTAAACATGGAGAATACCATATGATGAGGAGAAAATGAAAGCTTATGAAGAATCGTGGAGCCAACCAAAAAGAGAGCTACAAAGAACAGGGTGAAATGAAGATGTGCTGTTGAAGCCTTATATTTTCCCAAGAATCCAAGAGAATAACAAAATATATAATAATAATATTAATAGCAACACAGGGTTAAGCCATAATTATTTTATGCATACCTGTCTAATCACATCTATAAACATTGCGGCAAAATAACCAATCACAATAAACTCTGCAACTGAAATACTATCCGGTAGTGTTTTGAACAACAGTGTATATGAAAAGTGTAATAGGAATACAATATAAGTTATCTAAATAAATCAGAAAAACAGAAGCAGTAGAATTAGGAGGATGGTGGGTTTATTCAAATGGTATAATCACTGATTATAAATTATGTTTAAATATTCAACCATGGAAAGAAAGATACTTCCTATGGTGAAATTATGTTTCATTTCTGAAAATAAAAAAATCTTTTTTAGGCTACCCATAAATACGTTGACCAAGAGGGATCCTGGAGAAGGATTTGTTGCTACTCAAACTTTTCGCCTGTAGATTTCCTCATTAAATCTAAGGTAAACGTTCAAAGTAAATCAGAGTAACAGCTCCTTTTAAATTGAAACGATACACCGACATCTGTATTACTGGATTAAATAAAGTCATATAAAATACACATAGTTCCTGTCAATAGGACATAGGTGAAGAGAGAGATGACATCTGACGAGGTCATTCTCTTAACCACAAGAGTGACATTCCCTAATTGAATCGTCAAAATCAGATATATTCATTAGATTGTATTCTTCGCCAACTTTCCTTTCACCGGTCCAAGAATCTCTGCCAGCCACTTCGTGAGTGACTGATTGATAGGAAACATTTACCACACCTACTATTAACTGAAGTGGAACACCTTAGGTAAGCCATACATGCAGACCGGTGCAATACTAGATGAATAAAATCATACTAATAAACGCTTCATCTTCCTTTTTTCATAATTTTATCAGTTGCAGCTCCACTTGTTCAGCTGGATCTTTCTTAGACGTCCCTTTTAGAAATTCCTTGTCATTAGAAAGAACTAGTGGAAGTTTACCTAGGAAGCCCGATTTCTGCAGTAGAATAGTTTCAGAATCGTTAACCGGGATTGTCAAGACTGGTTTTTCGTCTTTATTTAACTTGTGGTGAGAGCTGGCTGCTAGCCAAAGTTGGTAGACTGTAATTGACGTCAATGTTTATGTCCCCAATATTGGTGGTGAGAAAATGAGAACAAAGGCTTTGCGTAGGTGGATACAGTTAGCATATGGATGATCTGACAAGCCACAAAGAGACGCAAGGTTAACTTTCTGTGAGAAACAACCAATCAAAAGACTGTATTTTTACTGACAATAATCTACAATAATGTACATTAAAATCTGTAAATATGTGTTGATTTTCCTTAATAAAAGATCTGTTGCCTGGCGCTTGTCTTCTGTTGTTACAAACTCTTCGAGCTGATGTCGATCGTTTTTACACAAAAGATTATGAAAGCTAGGCATTTTATTAGTTCAGGAGGGGGCAACAATTTGAAATGGTTAATTTCGAATGATCTACATCGTCAAAAGACACTGGAACTAGATCAGTTTCTGATTTTTCAGTCGCCCGAGTTCAACTTGTGTATTCAGCTGACTAATTTTTGACGTCACATCACAGAACTTACGTCCAAGTGCCTGACAGCATTCGCATTCGAACTGACGACAGAGAGACATCAGAATAATTCAACACGCATTTTTCAGAGCAAGAAGAGACAGCTGTCTCCTTGGTAATGGACCTCAGACTTTCATTCAGCTTCACAACGACATCATTAATTCTCGTCCTTGCATTGCGCTGGAAAGTTACGAGCATCATAACAACTGGTCAGAGTGACTGCTCAATTCTGTTGACTGCAAGAATGACTACACACGGAATGAAGTGTGTACAGATATGCTAGGGACTCCAAAATTCTGAACAAGACAAAAACGATACATCAACGAGGATAAAAAGGATTCACTTCACCTCCATATCTACATATCTCTTGTCAACTGCTCACAGCGTGTATGATGAAAGTTGCCAATTCCTCCAATACTTTGAAGTACTCTTTTTCCCAAGTGTTGGTCTGCAAGCGTTTGATTGATTTCAGGTTTGCATCACGGGTGATATTCAGTAAGAGATACTTCTGGAACTTTCTCAACCCTTGACTGTATATATTGAATAAAAATGTATGAGCTAGTTGATGAATTGTGCAAGAAGAATATTTCCTTCCATGATTAGAAAACTGTTGAAGGAAGTTCGGGGAGTACTGGACAGCTGTTTCGCTCTCCCTAGAGGCTTTTCATTGGCATACACCCATAAATTAGCAGTAGCAAGTAATGATAGGCAATCACCCTCCATCACAGTTCCCTTTGCAACATTAAGATTCCATTTAATATATGTGTAAAACTTGGGCACTGTGGTAGTAAGTAATTCCATATTAGTTTGTTTATTAGATATATCACACAGTGAAACAGCATTATTTACTGGATGACAAAGTTTCGAACACAATTTATTGCTGCTCATAATCATATAATCACACGACTTCGAAACTTGAGTCTTATAGTTTTCTTTGTTCTCTCCTATTTGTCGTATGGGTAGTAGAGTTTTCCAGATATCAAGAATATGTGATGAATCATTCCTATTACATGTATTTGTAGTTGATTCGATAAACAAAGCTTCTGTTATCAAGTTCTCCCTATACCCTGTGACATTAGATTTTTAAACTGTCATGCTATCCCATCATATTGTATGGTTGTGTGTAACTGCATGCAGTGCTATAGCTGAACTAGTCTCTAGATTTCTTATCTTATTCGGGTCAACCAATCTAGATTTTGCTAAGTTCTTATGTTCAGCTAGTCTGACTGCCCCTGTTCTACTAGTTTGACCTATGTATTTGACCTGACAATCATTGCAGGGTATGGGATAAACCAAATTGTTTTGTTTTAAAGGTTCCACAGGATTGATCCTTTAACCGACAAAGCTTGTTTCTAATTGAGTTTGTGGGTTTGAATGCCATTTTTATTCCTGCCTTGTTAAGAACTCTGCATAAGGCTTCCGAGGTTTCTTCCTTGTATGGAATGACTACTGATGATTTAGATTCCTTATTATTGGTGTCGTCATTAATATTATTATTATTATCACTATTATTATTATCATTATTATTGTTATTATCACTATCGCTACTATCATTATTTATTTTATTTTTACATTTCCTTACATATTTCTTGATTAATTTATCCGGGTAATTATTAAGTTTCAAGGCTTCTTTTATGTGTATCAGTTCTTGTTTTAGATTTTCTTTGGTACTACTTAATTTTTGTGCTCTGTCATTTAAGCATTTCACCAATCCTATTTTTACTGACATAGGATGGGATGATTGGAAGTCCAAATATCTGTTTGAGTGTGTGGGTTTCCTGTAAACACTAGTGTTTAACTTCCCATCTTCTTTCCTCTTTACGTTGCAATCTAACATTGGGAGCTCCCATTCCTGATTTTCCAATTCATAAGTGAATTGAATTGCTTCGACCTTCAAGTTGATGTGTTCGAAAAACCTATCTACATCTTGTGTTTTAAGTACAGTGAATGTGTCATCTACATACCTCCACCATACTTTTGGGGGTGGGGGTGAACGTTTCAATCGCTATGCTTTCCCACTTATCCATGATATATTCATAGATAAGTGGGAAAGCATAGCGATTGAAACGTTCACCCCCACCCCCAAAAGTATGGTGGAGGTATGTAGATGACACATTCACTGTACTTAAAACACTGCATTGATTAACTGACAATGACAATCCGGTCATTATTTCACCTTCAATCAGCAAGCATCACATAACTACTGGTATACCAATCCGAGTCTATCCACCTACAGCAGTATGAGGTTACTGAAACAGAAATAACCAACTATGAAATGTAAATGAAACATATAAATCGACTGTGAACACCCAAAAGAAGTTAGTTCAGTTAACTAATACTAAGGTATTCATCAGTCTAATCTACAAATGCAAAGCAGTGAGACGCAAAATGCGATAATTCCTCTGTACCAGTATTGTTCAAAGGGTTAATTGATTATTATAAGTGAAAGCAGACAGAGATAATTTTGTGTGGTTATCATGAAAATAATTAGAGAAAAGAAAATATGAGGTCACTTGCAAAAGTACTAAGGCTTACTCATATTTGTGCGTTACTCAGTTCAAAATGAGAGAATGCCAAAGTAATATGATGTGTGTGATGCATGTTTGCTCTATACATTTGTTTTTGTGACTGAATACAGTTCAGAACTTCAAGTGTCATTAACATACCTTCAGCAAGTGACTCACATTGTTTTGTGTCACACTTTGTGTACTTTTATGTTGACCATGAGGTAATTTGTGTGAATGGATTATTTTGTGTGTTTCTAGGTTGGTAGTCAGTGCTATCAGATGTTGTATTACAGTCAGATATGCAGATTAGTAGTGACTGACTGCAACTGTTTTGGATTCAAGTCTGAACTAGAACGGAGAGAGGCTTCCACGGGAGTAGGCACTAATCAAGCCAAACATTGTACTAACCTCCGAAATACCTCATTGGTCTCGAAGTCTAATTAGAATTCCAGGCAACTTCGTCATGCAGCCAGTCGCTCGTGAGAACGAGAATAATTGGCAGGTTTTGGTTTGTACGAATTTAATGGGTTGCATGTTTGCTGAAGGATTGACATCAGTGTTCCTGGAGTTCTTTTGAGAAGCTGTCACCAGTTAGGTTGAAAAACTCGCGTGTGGGGAGAAATACTTGGTGATGAAATTGGCTGGGGCAACACTCCAAGCACGCATTCACCGAGGTTACAACTGATGGGTGCCAATAACCGAATGGTCTCGTGATCATTCTGCCACCCGCGATTCCTGGTTCGCACTGCTGAAAATTCTTAAACTAATATAAGACAGACATACAGTACTCCATGTAGGTTTTCAATCCTTTTCTAACTGATATCCATCGATGACCACACCTGAAATCCAACCCCTACAAACTCATAATTGGAAAATTCTACATTTACAGACTCGTGGTTTTATGGATCAGCACATTTCAAAACAGCGTCAATGTGTTAGCTATTCAATAATTAAAACTCTGAATGTCTTCATCATTCTTTATTTTATCGTCCTCCTATTTTTAACATTCAACATCACCGTTTGCAAGATTATCAACTCTTCTTTCCACATTTCTTACATATGCATTTTGGCCTTTTGAACCAATGAACATCTCTGGATTGGTTCTACATTGACCAATTAATAATTTAGACATGAGTGAAACAAGGGACTGATCAAAATGAGGCTTTAAATTAAGCTCAAATTTGCATTCACAATCGTTTGTTAAAAAGTATACGGGCAATCTGAAAACACCGGTTGTACTCCGATCACCGAAGTTCAATAACGTCGGAGTGAGCTGGTACTTTCACCAGTGACCGGCTGCAAATATCAGGCATTTTTCGACTCCTGCTATCTCTAGCTGGGTGATAAAATGCTCACTTACCTCGAATGTGTTTTTCAGATCCAGTTCCCCCTCTTTGATGCATTCCTTAACCTTGCTCTGGTTTACTATTCAATGCTAAGCATTGGAAAGAGTGGTTAGCACTGCAACCCCGTAAAAATAACATCATTACCACCATGAAGCTTCAAATAGCTTAAATGCACATACTTCGGTTGAAGCATAAACGAATGGAGTGCTAATGAATGCAACTTCATATTTTCGGATAACAGAGTCTTACCAGCTGTGGCATTGTCTTCGTTTACGTGGTGAGATTGCTAGCCTCATGCTAGCCACTAACCTTCCATCTTTTCTTAGCTTGCTACTGGCTGAGGCGAGGATTAGGAGTGAATCGGTGTGGAATAAAAACCGGAACACATGCGAGATTGGCTCGGACATTCTACCACTGGACCACAGATGTACCGGTGGATAAAAAAGCCTAGCTTTTAACAGTTTGTCTACTCACATTTACTTATTGTAGGTGAGGCAAACAGCTCACACTAGAATAAGTAACTGTTATCTGAGTCTCAAGGAGATGAAAGCACTCCACTGGATTGATGATAGAAAAGTACAAGTAACGGAGGCTTAATAATAACACAATTCTTAATAGCATTTGTGTGTATTTTCATTTTGTGTAATAACTTACTGAGTTGAAGGCGAATTTGGTTCTCGGAGCAGTGTAAAACGTATGAAATTTCCATCTGATCCTGTCACAAGCGACCACTGTCGGTGAACCATGACGTGTAGGCCGATTTTTCTTATATGTATTCGTACCATTATTATTATCACTACCAAGATTGGTGACAGTGGATTTATCACTGCTTCGAGGTGCATCGTCAACTGAAATTTTATTTCTCCATTGTAATAAACGATCAGAGAATAATAGAGGTGGGCATATTAAAGCACAGAACATAATGAATATATTGGAGCATAAGCCATGATTCCATGCATAAAACAGGGAATTTTGACACGCAATTGAACCAATGAATTTGCGTCGAACAGATTGAACAGCTAAGCGTATACAGTTGAAATGACCCCATAAATATGTCTCTCGCTCGAGTAAATCTAGTGTGAGTTTCTAAAATGACAATAATAGAAATTGAACTTGTTAACTGATATATTTACTTCGTACTGTGAGATGTTGTAGGGATAAGAATCAATTTCAGTGTAGTTTTCGTCACAAACCAACATCAATCAGAGATTATTCAGAACTAGAAAGCAATGGACAACTGTTTCGCGTCCTTGTTTGACAATGTTAAGCAATGCACACCCACCACCCCACCACGGATCGAACGCAACACTTTGAGGTTACGCGACGAATTTCATTAGCCATTCAACCACTTGAGCCGGAATTCAATGGCCTGTGTATTCTACCCCCGCAACTAGTGATATATTGCTACCCTGAACAATCCCGTCGATTAGTATCCAACTTACCTTGAAATGCTGAATCCACTGGTAACCCCTTCCAGGGAACAGCTTCATTACATCCATCCGGTGGCCATCAATCAACTGAAGGTTGACATTTCTATTATGGCACTTGTAGATATTCACATGTCATTGCATCCCAGAACAAGTAGCTGAATGGTTAACTATCTTCGCCTTGTAACATGAGGGTACCGGGTTCGATATCTGATGGGTTCATATATATTAAATGCTGATATTTTGTATTAAAGGCTCTTTGTTCTTCCAACAAAGTCATTTAAATTTATACAAGACATTGAAGGTAAACGCACACACAGTTGAATAAAACCATTCTGTTTTCAAGAGGAAAAAAGAATCAACCTAGTGACAATATCTTTTCGACAATTTCATCCTCAAATCCAACACAATCACATTTTTGATTAAAGTAGAACTTCTGCTGTTAGTATGAGGTTTTCCAGTGTTTAACTGTCTAACTGAAGGTGTCTCTGATTTAAAGCATGAAATCAGCACAACAAAGGTGTTTGGTAAACACAAAATAATCGTGGAGAACACCTATTGGGACATTAGATATAAAAGACTAACAGACTCAGCAGAGACATGTTTTCGGCAAGTTCATCCAACAACAGTAAATAGTCTCCTTTCTGTACATAACTTTACAGAGTTTCACAATTATTTACTATTATTATTATTATTGTATCCTTTAATTCCTAGAGGAACATAGAGCTTCAGCCGTGTGTCTCCATTGCGTTCGGTTCTCTGCTAGAGTCTTCACCTGGCTCCATGTCTGCCCACACGTTTTCATCTCCTCTTCACATGACCTCCTCCAAGTCACCCTTGCACTGACGACCAACTCGCCGCTTCCCGTTCGGGTTCCACTCAAGGGCTTATCTAGTGATGTCACTTGATGGTTTCCTCAGAGTATGGCCAATCCATCTCCATTTCATCCTGCCTATTTGTTTCACAATCGGTTCCTGCTGCATTGGTTCGCTCCCAGAGATCCCTGTTGCAATCGAAAATACCAATGAAGTGGAAGGTGTGACTTCCCTTTTGAAGCCATTCTGGGTAGTGTTCTTTAACACACTGTCAATTCGACAAGACCAACGCAGCAGAAATATGAATAACCGATTATGAAGTGTAGTTTGCATCCTATAACCATAAATTCTTTTTGGGGAAGTATGTTGAATTATTATTATTACAGCTCTACTTTTTACATTTGTGCACTCGTCTACTAAATTTATTTCAAAACATCAAGACAAATGCTCGTGTTTTTTATGAGCAAGTACAACATAAACAAAATAATATGTATAAGTATCATTGAAGAATTCTGTATTCCTTATCTGTCAGTTAATTGACTTCATGGTAAATTTTGTTACAAACCAACATCACTTAGAGATCGTTGAAAACCAGGGGTCAGGTCACCCAGTTGAAATGACGTAGAATTTCAAGTTTAGTCACTAGCTGACTTTAATTAGACAACCATTGAAAACCACGGAATACTGGTCAACTGCTTCCTTCTTGTTTGGCACTCTGGAGCATTACTCACCCATGACCCGACTGGGAATCGAAGTCATCACCAGAGAAGTCCGTCAAGTTGGGTATTAGGAAAAGCAGTCGCTAGTGACATTGGCTGGTGGTCACGGAATATATCACAAATAGGCAGAAATTAGAATTCATCAACCATTGGATTCCGTCGCAGTTGCTAAATAGTCAACGAGCTCTCCTCATAAACTAAAGGTCCAGGGTTCGATCTCTGATGAGTTCTTGAGTGAGCCTTGCTGAACACCATCAAACGAGAACACAACAGCTACCCAGTACTCTCTGGTCTCCAATGACCTCTGACTGATGTTAGTTTGTAACGCAATTTCCACTGAAATAAAGCCAAATCACTACAATACCTAATAATCTAAACATATCTAATTGTACTGAGAATGTATTGATTTTCGCATTCTTCAAAAAATAGCAATATACAGTATACGTTGTGTAATGCATACCTCATTAGTTTCATAACATTGATCTAACAGTCGAACAGCTATTTCTTCAAATTCTATTATATAAGATTCATACAATGCCTTCGATTCTGTATCATAGTATGGCAGAGCTTTTATCATATTGGAATAAAGGCAACAAGCAATCAGTGCTAAAATAAGGGGATTTTCACAACGTTCCCAAAAGTACAGCGCCATTTCTTGACGTTGATGAAGTATAGCCCATAAGAATAATTCCTACATATGTGATAAAAGTAAAATACATGGATAAAAATTACTTTTATAAAGAGTTAACAAACAGCGCTTTACAATCGATTTTAATGACCAGAACTCTAGCTGATTGTAAACGCAGGACACGGTAGTATTCGGTAGAACAATCTTTCATTGACTGGTTGATGCACAGATATGGCGAACCACGTATAGTTCACACAAAAATTATCATTTACACGTCTTATTCGTGTCGGGCTTCTTTTATATTCCTTTCATGTTATTTTGTCTTTTCTCACAAGGATCTTTCATTTCAACCTCCTCTCCTTTTAATTTATATCTTCAATATTCAATATCCTTGCAGAAGACATCACACAAAATATAGTGCTGATAAGTTTTTGTAAGTAGCATACACTGAATTGCTTTTGCGCACGAATTCAAACCATGTCATGTAATCATCCTTCACACAAAACGTGCCCATGGCGGTATACATTTATCTGCATGCACTGGCATAGTCATTTATTGCCAGTACTATGCTACCAGCTTCAATGATATGGATGCATGATGTGACGAGTCCCAAGATCACTCCAACTTATTTTTCAAGAGTATTACTGCTAGGAGAAAAAGAAGGTAAGTTTCTCAAAATTCTAATCTACAGGACCCACTTGTAGAGAACACAAGTCACGGCTAAGTTGAAGCACTGGGACAGCATAAAGACACGTTTTAAACCAGAAACCACCTTCAACTCACCTTGTGTATGCATAGAGCAAACATATCACATAGCAGTCAACTCTACGAGAAGATGCATTCAGCACTAACCAGTGTCAGTTATCTGCTGATTTATGTACAGAAAAAACGTAATCAAAACCCCACATGCATAAGTCACCAAAAAGCGCATGTCATTTACTATTTGTTCATTGCCTTCCCACTGGAACATAGGACTTCAGAAGCATATCTGCATTGCACTCGGTTGTCTACTGCCATTTTCAGCTGCCTCAACGACCACTATAACTATCCACTTTCTCTTCAATGATATCCCCCATGTCATCATCGGGCGTCCCACTCAAATTCCCCATTTACAATCTATGCAGTTCAAGTGATGAAATCTCACCCTAGTCCCTGCAGAAACCATGTCATTCAGATCAAAATATGTAATCTGAAGATGTCATCTGGGCATCGTATCTCATTTGAATCTTACTCAGCTTTGAAGGTCTCGTCGGCAAATTTCAAATCCGTCTTCATTTCATCCCACATATTTACTTGAATAATGAATTTATGACTGGTCTGCTGTAATGCCAGATTTCCTTGTTGCGCTTACGATTTCCGGTCGGTCATCTGACATTCAATGTCGAACGAGTTAAGGCGGTGGTTGGTGAAGCTCCAGGTCTCTGAATCATAAAGAACTGATCTGACATTAGTGTTAAGAACCCAAATCTCCTTCCTCATGCTGAGTGCAGCAGATTTCCACAATGACTTCAGATTATTTGCGGTTTGTCTTGCTTTCCAACCCCATCCTCATACTTATCACTCACAGTCGAAACAGTGCCCCCTACATAAGGGGAAGAGGTGACTTCCTTCACATTCCTCTCGCTGATGATGACTGATGCTGTTTGTTCCTGGTTAGTCATTTTCATCACCTCTGTTTTCTCTATGTTCACTTGCAATCCTGTATTCGCTGACTATCTGCCAATTCCCGGTTCTCGTTTGAAAAATTTTGGGTTTATGCAAAAGAGGACATAAATTTTCTTCGAATTCCAGGTCTCCTAGAGTCCCTCTATATCTCCACCATGTGCCCGCTGCTTAGTCTGTTGCATGATAAAGACCACCAATTCTGGAGGTCGTCTGTGTTAGTGAGCAGCCTCATATTACTTCTATCTTCATTTCAAACGCTTTCGTGGCTTTCTGCTATGAATTACCTGAAATAAATATCATCATAAAAGTGTTCAATGAAGTTTACAAAGATATGCTTCACTGCAGTCTGGAGTTATGAAAGAAATTCCTAATTGCCTCACCATTAACTCGCTGTGTTGATGAAGTCGATGTAAGGATTTGACTGCCATTCTAGCCTCCATTTGATGATGATATACAGTGTTTTGATGTACTACCCTCATGATTTATTATTATTATTATTGTTCCCTTGGGTTCCTAGTGGAACATAGGGCTTCAACTGCACGTCTCCACTTGCTTCTGTCTTCTGCTGTTCTTTTCACTTGCGTCCATGTTATTCCATACTGTTTCATCTCCTCCTCACACGATCTCCTCCATGTCACCCTTGCACCGACGTCCCACTCGCCGCTTCCCTTTCGGGTTCCACTCGAGCTATGGCCTGACGCGCGATGTCACTCAACGGCCTCCTCAGCGAGTGTCCAATCCATCTCCACTTCCTCCTGCATATTTGTTGGGCGATTGGTTCCTGTTTCGTTTGTTCCCATAGCTTCTTGTTTGTGATTCTTTCTGGCCATCTAATCTTCAGTATGGAGCGAAGACAGTTGTTGATAAAGGTCTGCAACCTGTTGAAAATAACCCTCATGATTTGCTTCTCCTGAATCCATCCTTTACTAGGGCATCTTTAATTCTCTGCAGGATGATGAGGCTTAATATTTTGCTTAGGGCAGACAACAGCGAAATGATTCCGCATCAGTCCTTAAATAAGCCTAAGCCTCTTTACTTTGACATTTTGACAATATAGTCACTCTTCTACACCTTCTGTAATACAGGCGCGAGGATGTCCACTGAGGTCTCTGGGTATATTTTCAGTGCTTTCTGTGGTTGGGAAGAAGAGAGTTGCATCACATTTAGATTTATGTCACTTCTCTTACTTTTAGCTTCGCTTCATTGTATTTCATCCGTTCTTCTTCGACTCAGTAACAGCTGAGGTTAAATACTGGTATCTTTCAACAACACATGGAATCATTTGCCAACATCACAGAATAATCACAATAGTGATCATAATTATAATAGCAATAATAATAATAATTCGCAAATTTCCTTCAAATCATTTGTCAATCAAAAAATAGTATGCAGTAAGACAAAATCAAAAAATATCATTCCAGAAAAAGCATTACATTAATACACAATGGTATAACTCACTTCATACGGTGAAGGAAACATCTTATTATTAACTTTAGACCAAATTTTTGTTTTATGTTGCAAAGTCTATTAATTTGAAAACATGAAAATGGAAAGAAGGGAAAAGTTTTCACAGCCAGTGGAAGTTAAATGGCTTAAGCCTAAGCATATATATGAATATATGTGTGTTGGAGATAACTATAAACATTCGTCTGTGGTCCAGGGGGACAATGCGCGACGACCACACACGTGTTTGTGGCTCGATCCCTAGCTTACGCAGTCCTGAAACCTTACTTAACCACTAGTAGACTGGGTGAGGACGGAAGGTTGAATTTGAGGTGGCTAGCAACCCAACTCCGTAAAAATTACCACTGCTATTGAAACTTCTAGTTTGAAGCTAGAAGTCCTATCTTCAACTTGGAATGCAAAGGAATGAAGGGAACGCATAGGATCGAAAATTGTTCGCATTTTGACTTAGTAGACGGTGTCCATCAGTGAACTTCAAGATGATCTTTTCTTCGTATTATGAAGCCATCAGCCGAATGTATCTACACCGTGCAAAAGTAAGACGCTATTCACATTGACACTGCATCCAATATATAATCAGTCGACAGGAAATATAAATTAACCAGAACAAATATACAGTTTACTAATGCTAAAACAGGTCGGCAAAAGACAATTCTAATGGATACAAAATTTTAAAAACAAAAATCATTAATAAGAAATGTTTTGTTTTGCGTGTATCAGTAAAATTCTGTCAAGAATCAAATACAACACCAATAAAACTGTTTATTTTCAATAAAACAATGAGTTGTTTGCCTGAAGAAAAATACGAAATACTGATTTCAATCCCTCTAATTAATCAGGAGTTGTGAATTTGGGGAAGATATAGATGCCTGACCAACAACAACAAGCACCAACAACTGTCAATGGCAGAAATGTAAAGGAAGTCACCTCTCTTAATTATGTAGACAGCGTTGTTCCAACTACAGATGACAGCTTGAATGAGGATGTTGACGCTATCCAGTAACGGAAAAGCAAAAAAGAATTTCACTATTTATCATGCTTCACTCAGCATAAGGAATAAGATTCAAATTTTCACCCCTAGTATCAAGTCAGTGCTTCCAAATGGTTCGTAGACTCAGTGGACGCCCCAAGAAAAGCATTCCCAACTGGCTTTCATCAACAGATATTTCTATTGGCTCGATGCTGAAGATCTCAAAAGGATGCGAAAAAAGGAACTCAGGCAACGAAACAACCAAGAATCTATTACCCAACAAATATGCGAAAAATGTAGGTGTATTGAATATATGTTGTGGAGACTAATAAGTGATATCATACACCAGGCCGGCCGTCGAGTGGAACATCGAGTGGGAATTAATCAGTCTGGCCTTGGTCTCAGAGTGAAATGGAGGAAACTGCGTGAGGAGGAAACGAGGGCTTAATGGCAATGGGGGAGCCAGCTTAGGAGGACTGCAGAGAACACGACTGAATGGAGATGTGCTGTTGAAGTCCTATATTTCACTCAGAACCCACTGACTATGATAATAGTAATCCAAGATTGTGAATTTATAGGACATGAGAATAGATTGTTTATGACAACGCTACTTCGCCTTTAACAACACCAGTAAAGCAAAGTTATGAACATAGGCTTCACTGTTTGATGAAACTCATCAAAAAATGTATTTACAATCTTTTGAAGGTGAAAATAGTAATTCCAAGTAAGATTTAACAATCCATCATCTAAATTCATTTCTGAAGGCAGGAATTATTGATCAGATCAATAGTCTACATGTTTGTGCGCTAATCAAATTCAACAACATGATGATCATCAAACACGGAGATGGTTGGTTATATTGCTCGGTGACATCTTGAGGATGACTAAGAGTCAGCTAGAAAATAAAGTATAACAATGTCGTGGGCACTCATGAGCACTGTGCTCAATGACTCAGGTAAAAATATGACCTGCTCAACTGTTAAAAATACTGCAGTTGGTTGAATCAGCTGAATGAAGTCAATCAGTAGAAATCTCACCCGTTGCGTACAAAGCATGATAACACAGATCATATTGACTGATGGGTTATTTCAGCTACTCGGAAGAAATGTTCCATCTTCCCGGCTATATGAACAACACTGATTATACTACGTATATGATCAGGTTGAATTAGGCGGAGCGCGGTTCGAACCCACGACCTGTTGTCTGAAACTTGATTGCTTAAGCCAATGAACCACATCTCCACAACAACACGAAAGAAAGAAGCTCTTTTACACCTTTAACGAATACTTTCCATATACAGCTTTTGATATCAATGATATCTGACATAAACTATGACCCCCGGTGAATTATGAGTTTGTTTGAGACCGTATATACATTTCATTTGTCGATGGTAATAGCAAGAGGAGAGACTTTTATCTTAACGTTTTTACCTAAAGATATAAGTAACAGTTAGTTTCATCTAGCTTAGTTGTCACACAGCAGAAAAGACAAAGACTTTTAAGCCTTAAACTGGTTACACTCCTCAGTCGCACAAAACATTTCTCATTGTGACTACACATGGTATTTTGGTTACTGGTGTGTATTGCCGAAGCGTTCTTAACTAGAAGTAAACAGCTTTCCACTCAGTGGTTCTCCAAGTGAAGTCAATTAGTGATCTAGGCCGAAATCAATCGGATCTCTAAAAAGCAACGCTTGAAAATCAATCTAGCGCTCACTAGAGACTGATTGGCTAATTGAATGACTACAAGATGAAGTTGCACGGAGTTCTAGAGAGAAGTCATCACCCGTGGACCCTACCGAGTTGGGTGTGAGGATGAATAATTGCCAATGGCACTGAATAGCGGTTGCGCTATATATCGTCAACTGACAGAAGTTAGATATCATGTGTTTTTGAATTGCTTCCTAGTGACCCGCCTAGTGAATTGAAGATCTTTCATTCGATCCCCAGAGGGGCGGTCATGGCTAAGTACCGTTGCAGAGTCCCAAACAGGCAAGAAATGATTGTCCAGAACTCCCTGTTAGTTTCCAGTGTTTCTCCCGCTGAAGCGGATTCATCATCCAAAATGAAACCACAACCGCATAGTAAACAGTCTGATTACGAAACAGTGTAGTCAGTGTAGGCTAAAATGATGTTCACTATGTATAAATTTCATACCTGATTATCAGATTCATAAAGCATCGATTCAAAATTTCCCAAAATTCGATCCAAAAGTTTATTTATGATCGGTAGTCGTAACTGACTCTTTGATGAACTCGTAGTCATGGGTATTGAAACGCTTGTTGTTTGATCTGGTAATACTGAGACACTTGTACTAGTATCATCACCATCATTGTAGGCAGAAACGTAATCATCAGAGAAGAGATTATATTTTCTCAAACACTTTAACAATCCATCACGACGATCTGATTCATTGTATAGCTCTCGAAGTCGACCAACAGTTAGAAATGTTTTCATTGTTACACCATTTCGTAGGAGAATTTTGACAAAATCAAGTTTATTGTGTTTTAATGCTTTCGACATGAAGTGCTCAAGAGTTTCTATCAAAAAGGAGAAGAGAAGAAACTAGATTATAGGCTTTAGTGAGGCCACTAAACTAAACATGACAATTATAATAACGTGAGCAGCATGTTTTGTATTCTGCCAAAATCAACTTATCGGCTGGCATCTGATGATCATAATTATCTGGGCGATTACCAAGACAACATTCAAAATAGAGGTATGGCTAACATGAAACTATAGGTTAACTGCATACATTGAAACTGTAATATCTTCTACTAAATAGAGTCATGTCCGCTGATAACATATTGAATCGGTGGTGCTGCACGCAATGATCAAAGCAGCAAGTCCCGGTGAACTGTCATCAAAGAATTCCAGTGGTCTTAGTACCATGACATTATGATCAAAATGGAAGGCGTCAGAATAGCTTTTGTAAGAAGTGATCACATCACCGGATCAGAATGTTAGAAAATGACTTTACTGCATTCCATAAGTAACACCAAAGAGGCAGACGTTATTAAATTTAGCCTTTAGGCGTTTTATCTTTTGTTTTTATTTCTAACCTTGCGAGGGGAACATAAGGACTCAAACTTGTAAGCTTCAATATCACTGTTGTTATTTTTACAGCATGGAGTTGCTAACCTCACGCCCAGCTTTCTCTACTTCTCTGACTTCTATCTAGCTAGTGAACTAGGCGGGGTAAGGCCAAATCGGCTAACGTAATAAGGTATATATGAATTTGCAAAATCCACAGCAGACCAGAGCAGTAATAACGGTTGAACCCGTTTCTTCTGCATACGGAGCACTGGTTTTGTAAGCGAATTGCAGTAGCCTCTGTTGTTTGGAATATTCAGTACCTGGATGCTTTTGGCAGTTTATCTGGCACACCATAGATGATAGAGAAGGATTCTTCAGTGTTATCTTTGTGGCAAGTTTGTACCAGGTGGTCTCATATCGAACTGTTGATGGTTTTCACTACACCTTATTTTAGCTACATTGGCAGGTGTTCTTGAGCACGGAAAACCAAGCCAATATTTAACTTGTTACACAAGCGAACTTGAATTGGTAGATACAAGAAGAGGTAGCTTGTTTAGGTATTTCATCTTTCAAGTAAGGAATCACAATCGGTCGTGTAGAAAATATGATTTGAAGTTTACCAGCATTAAAAGTTCTTTGATTGGATTTTCTTAACTTGTAAGTAATTATATCACTAGGGGCGTCACCCTTGAATTTACAGATGGACAATAGTCGTTTTCTAATTTCTTTGTCATGTTATTCTTGATGAACTTTTCTGGATGACTATTTTCACTTAAGGTGTCAATCTTAAGTTCATCTTCAGTTACGTCTTCTGAGTATATAGCTCCGATACTGTGTCTGAGAGTCTTTGTTTAATTTCTCTTGCACTAGACAGGAATTAAGCTGTGGAAATGCGTATATTGCCCTGTCCATGTGCTTTTCCTATTCGAATTTCTCTTGACACTACCATCTAATTTTCTTGTAAGGAGGACATCTAGGAAGGAAATTCTATTTTGGTATTCTTCACACGCGAATTTCATAGCAGAATGTAATTCATTGAATTGAGTTATTATTATGTTCTTATCCGAATCACTGTCACAAACAGTAAAGATGTCATCCATATACCGGCAAGAAAATGAGAATTTTCTGATAAGGCTGTTCAAAGGTCCATTTTCTAGTTCACTCAGAAAGAAGTCTGCCAAAATGGGACCCATTAGGGAGCCCATCGTCACTCCGTCCACTTGTCTGTAAAGTGTGCCATCAAATTTGAAATTTGCACTCATGGTACACCTTAGTAACTATTCTTTTGGGATTTCCGTTGGGATATGAATATCTATTGACTGGTTATGCACTTTTTCACAAATGTAGTTAACCGTTCCTCCTAGAGGTATATTTGTGAATAAAGCTGTCATGTCCAAAGATATCAGAGTTTTACCCTTGATATTAAAGTCTTTGATTTTGTCCACCAATTCAAATACATCCTTGACGCTGTTTCATTATTTGTTTATGAGAAGGTTTTGGAATGATTCTCTAACCATCTTCCTAAAGCATGGTAAGGCGAATTTCGCATGTCATATATTGGTCTTAACGGTACCCCCAGTTTATGTAATTTGCGTAGGCCATTTAATCTTGGCGTGTATGTGCCCACTGATCTGAGTTATTCATATAAACTTTCGGGAAATATCCGTTCTTCCCTAAGTTTCTTCAAACTTCCAGTTAATTCGTTCTCTGTTTTGTTATTGAAATCTTTCTTCTCATTTTTTTCATTATATCATTCATCTTTTTAATGCAGTCACTTCTGTCGAGGAGGACTACCACTGATCCTTTATCAGGTTTTGTGACTATCAGTCTTTTGTCATTTATCAGTTTTTGTAGTTCTTTTCTGCACTCCTTTGTCAAGAAACTTTTACTATCGTATTTGATATTTTTGTACTGATAACAACAATCTGCTAACTGGATTTGAAGCTCTCTAGTTCTAGAATAGAAGATGAAACTAGATCCCCTGTCTGGCTGAATAGATTTTCAGATTCAACATCTGTATCTAAAGGAGTGACTCAGTTACGGCCGTCGTAAAATCGTAGACCAAAGGAAAGTAGCTCGAGTTGCACCTTACTTAATTCAACACTACCATAATTATGGACGTAACTTTTAGCATCTGCCAGAAATTTACTAGCCTCTGGCATGGTGTAGTGAAAACCATCAACAGTTCGATATTAGACCACCTGGTCTAAACCGGCCACAAAGCTGACATTGAAGAATCCTTCTCTATCATCTATGGTGTACCAAATAAACTGCCAAAAGCATCCAGGTACTGAATATTCCAAACAACAGAGGCTACTGCCATTCATCTAAAAAACGGGTGCTCTTTGTGTCGAAGAAACAGGTCCAACCACTATTACTGTTCTGGACTTTTGTGGAGTCTCCAAATTCATATATACCTCATCACTTTGGCCTTTTTTGACATGACCGTCGATTCTGTACATATAAATTCCCCCACTCCTCGTTATTACACTTGCATTAATTAACCTTTTGTTTATTTAATTCAATTTTATATTTTCCCATCGATGGGCGTTGGATTTGAGCCTCGGTGGGAACATCACTCACTGCGGAATGCAGGTACGTCCAGATGACGGGTCTCGAATAGGACGAAATGCGCATCCTGGATTCCACTGCTAGTCACCATCCACCAATTAACCTTTTGTTTTCCTATTTAAACGTAGTTGTAAACCTACACACTGACACACATGCAACACACATAACTTTCTACTCCGAAATTTTTCTTCCCCCCCCCCCTCCTTGCGCCCTTGACATGATCATTCATCCATTTGAAGTTTCTAATCAATATGAATAGAACTGAGTATGAATATGACTTATAAGAATTCACTACTATATATTCGTTGTCATTCATAATCATTTACTTTGTAATATTGAAGTTCAGTTTAGTGATACAATGATACATGTTACCATATACATATATTTTAGACTATAATCTATTAACAATCTATTTGCAAATAACTTTTGTGATTCTGATGTTAATTGTTCGATGTTACCTTTAAAAAAACACTAAGATTGTCAATAAAAATCATTCTTTCATTATTATGGATATATAACTGTAGAACCTGATGATGAATTGGGAGAAGTTAGAATTCATGGGCTGGCCATTGGGTTAGGTCCCAGTGACTACTGAATGGTCTAGGAGCTTGCCTTGTAACCAGGATGTCCTGGGTCCAATCCCCGGTGGGTTTGTGCTGATGAAGAGTTCTAAAGTGGGACGAAACAGCTGTCCAGTACTCCTCGGTTTTCCAGTGGCTCTCTAACTGATGTCAGCTCATGATGAAATCCTCCAACCAACCTGATGACGATTTTATCGAAAACGATACTTTACTTGGCACCCATGTGAGAAGCGTAAGGCACAAAACTATGTGAACAGCCCTTTTTATTCTTCTTTCCATTAAAATATTGCTGTTAATATTCCCACTTAAGTTTCGATTTTATATTTATGTTCTAAATGAACATTATTATTAATGTAAATACGCTGTTTAATTATTTTCTGCTGTACTGGATGCAATATAGTACTACGTGCTGAAAATCCTACACAGTATCGAAAGTACCGTTTGGAATAAGGCCATTATTATTTCAAGTGATCCGTCGGCCCTCAGACAAAACACCAATAGCCATAGATGAATGATATGAAACTAAAGCTTACTAAATGTGTCAGAGATTCAGAGATATGATACTTGTCAGCCACGTGCGTGATATGAGCTTCAAATTCCGGTCGATACACTCCTAAACCTTACTAAGCCTGTAGTAAGGCCGGTAAAGAGTGAAGGTTGTGTGCGAGGCTTACAATTCACCTCGTATAATATGAAAATCCGCCACTATTAAAACTTCTAGTCTTCTGCTTAAAGCCCTGTGTTCCACTGGAAACTGGAGGGAATAAAAAATAAATGAATAAATAAATAAAAAGCTTACCAAGACTAATAGATTTGCTTTGTTGAAATATTTTCTCTTGAGCAATATCACATCGATCCCAGGTAAAAGCTAATTCCAGTTGTTTCTCCAAGTTGGATGATGTCTTAATCAGTGCATACAAGATGGCTAAGTCAAAGTCGCTTGATTGATTCAAATCAAAAATTGTAACCAATTCTGCATTTTTCACTATGCATTCAATCATTCTTATAGCTTGATTAATATTATGTATGCTAACAGGGACTTGAAGTAATTTCCGTCGAAGTTCTGCGGTTTCTTTTTCTGAAAAACCTTCAAACTCACTTGATTATTCATGTATTGATTATTTTAATAGTTTAGGCGCGGAATGAAAAGAAAAAAGGAGGAGAAGAAGAAGTAAGAAGACACAGAAATCAATAAAACAAAATAAACGAAAATAGCCTAGATGAAGTTACACGAATTACACGAAACAGTAGCTATCTGACTAAGTCATCCAGTCAGTCATACACACGTCTGTCAAACATCCACCTAAGCATGCAGGATATGTTTGACAGGAAGCTAACGGTGATAAGTCTCGAACGTGGTACGATCTGATTAGGTCGTTGACTGCTGATGCGTGTACGTTATGTTAGCAAATGTAGGTTGCTTAGCTGAGGTACACATGACCGCTGAAGCGTTTGACTACAGACTTCAGATGATATGATCGCAGAAGCTCAGATAGTTGTATCCAGTTTGTTCATTTTAATTTTAAGATCATACTTTATATTTGCTTGGAAATTTCTACTTTTTCAATACTTTCTTGAAATTTACGATCTCCAACAATATGATTTACATTTCTGAATCCCTACCACCTACTTGGCGTACACGCACTAGATGCATTGAGCTGGTCCACTGAGCAACAGTGCTTATTTCCTTTTTTAACAAGACCTTTCATCTTGCCAAATTATCTAACATCAAAAAGACATGTTCAATCCATTGTACATCGGTGGTTCAGTTGTAGAATGGTTTCCAACCACGAACGTGGTCTAGGTTCTATTCCCGAAGGACGCACTCCTAAACTACCCTCAGCCAGTCATAAGCAAGATAAGGTGAGAAGGTTACGCATGAGTCTGGTAACTCCAGCCCGTAAAAATCACCATTACTACTGAAATTCTAAGGCCCCTATATTCGACTTGGGACGCAAAAGGAATGCAAAAAATTGTATTTTAGGATAAAAGAGGAATAAATTTTAAGCTTATAATTATAATCTGATCTATGGTCTTCTTTAGTTTTTAAGCTGACTGAATCTAATCAAAATTCTTCTCAATGTCTTTGCAACGTTCTCTGGCTTTCTAAGCAGCCAGTTAAGGCACATTAACCATGGATGTCCTTGGGTAGGATGATAACACGTTTGAAAATGGATGACAAGCAAGCTGGTATCTTCGAAAAGATCAACCAAGTAGGCTTTACTGGCTTCTTAGAGAGCAGATACCGCTGAGCTCTGTAATATCAAGTCAGTCTTGAAGTCCTGGTCAGTTTCACGAATGAGACAATAGAGGGGCAGTTCGCGCACCAAAAGTTCAGTACTCTTCTGGTAATGATGGATCTTACGGAGAGCAACAGTTCTTGACCTGCATCTGTATGGTTTCTTAACGCCACCAGTAGCTAGTGCACTTCTTCTATGGGCAGCCTAGGTTGTCAGCCACTTTCTCGGGGTCTATCCTTTAATTAGCTATAGTGAAACACCGAGAGGCTATGAATTACAGTAGTCACAGTTACTTATATGTGAATATAATTGCTTACTTAAGCACTTATTATAACTGAGAATGAACATTATTAAATTTCAAAGGTGTTCAAATTCACATTAAACATTTATGAATACTGTAAGTATACATAATTTACCCAGCACCTTTTGTGATAAACACGACTTTACATTATATTCATGATTCTCTCCCACAGATGATGGTTCCTTCATAACAAGAAAAGAAAATATAACTCACTCATATTTTGAACGATAATCCATGGCCAAGGCTAGAACATCAGCTACTCTTCCAGTACCTGAGCAAATAAGCACAGGTACATTTTCTATTATTCTGTTTTTCACATCAACGATTACATCATGATCACCATCCACAACTACAAGTACAACAGGTATACCAAAACCACCCCCTGAAATACAAAATACAGTAGACTGGATTTATTATGACTTTTATGTAGGGAAATAAACAGGACATTTAAGACACTAATAAGTTATTGCTTTTTTTTAAACTGCTTCACCAATTAAATACTCAAGTCACTAGATGCGGTCAAAATCGCTCTATCTAAATGACAAAACTTGTACTATGATAGAGAAGATTTGTAGCCTAGGTGGATGATTTTGATGTGGTTGTGTTCTCTGAGTTGGATAGTTAATTTGCGAAGCTTTCATCACCCTATTAAGTGACATCTTCAGCGCGTACTTCAATTCGAAATGAGCCTTTAGATTTCTCCACGAGTTTATTAGTCAGCTCTCCTGGTGACCTTGGACGTGATTGGTTGTTTTTGTGTTTTCACACGTTCTAGGCTACTTGTATTGGAAGTGATTGGAAGTGACATCAATAGGAATTGACGTCGCACACAAACCAACAAAATCACTTCACTCAACCAGCCGTGTGTCAACTAAAGGAATCAACAGGGAGAGAAGATAAAACCAACATCATCTACAAAATAAATTGTAACAACTGCGAAAAACACTACATTGGCCAACGTGGACGTCCCCTTCGTCTTCGTATCCATGAACATAAGCTAGCCGTCAAAAGACATGACATCCACTCCCTCATATCACTCCCTGCATACAGACAACCACGGACATCAATTCGACCGGAACAACTTTCAAGAATTAGACAGAGGAAACAACAAAAATGCTAGAGAAGTTATAGAAGCCTGGTATTCCAGTGAATCATCAATCAATAGACACATCGAGACTGGCAAAATTTATCAACTGATAAGAAATAAACCTCACACACAAAGGGTCAAAGTTCAAGTCAAAGAAACAATCACTTCCAATACAAGTAGCCTTGAAGGTGTGAAAACACACAAAAACAACCAATCACGTCCAAGGTCACCAGGAGAAATCTAAAAGCTCACTTCAAATTGAAGTATGCGCTGAAGATGTGGCCTCGTAGGGTGATGAAAGCTTCGCAAATCAACTATCCAGCTCAGAGAACACAACCACATCAAAACTTGTACTGTTCTACAGTGCCGATAAAAATAATCGAGAAGTTATTAGATTTGTGGGATATTCAAACCCGACTAAAATTACACTTCTGTTGACTTAAATCTTTCTAGTTATACGAAATCCCTCGAAATATTAACGTTAATCATTGTATCAGTTGACTTCATACGTTGACTATGACATAATGTGTACGCAACAAACTCTTAGCTCATTGTTATCTACAATTAAACAATCTTTGAAGATGTTCCATTACCAATAAGTAGAACCTGCAACATGTTTAGCTTATTTTAGCCGGTCATTCACTTTACTCGAAAGTACTCAACACTGTCAATAATGGTAATGAATCAACTTCATTCCACTAAAGATTTTCAATAAAATTCGCTACTCATCAAAATGAATTTCACTATGAAATATAACTGATAAGAATCAAAGCAATCACTGTAGTATGCCCGGGTTGAAACACAGCTGGACAGTGTCTGCAATGTCTGATTACTGTATCATATATATATCTCAGAGATCCTGATTACCACATTCTTTGACATAACATACATTTTTGATTGCACACTAGTCAGTAACCAGTGTAATGTATCTAGTCCTATCTTCGGTGAAGACAGAATTCTATCAGTCATGTTTGCAATGTGGCCACCATGCTAGGTGGCGCACCATTACGGTGCACTGTGAATTGTTGGTATTAGATGGTTGGAGGCAATCGGTAGGAAGCCTTGGACCTAGGTTTCATGCTAGGTTGCAGATACGCCTTGCTGATAAGTGCCAACTAGCATGAAACCTAGGTCCAAGGCTTCCTACCGATTGCCTCCAACCATCTAATACCAACAATTCACAGTGCACCGTAATGGTGCGCCACCTAGCATGGTGGCCACATTGCAAACATGACTGATAGAATTCTGTCTTCACCGAAGATAGGACTAGATACATTACACTGGTTACTGACTAGTGTGCAATCAAAAACATTACATTACCTTTTTTTCATCCCAAAAGAAATTAATATTATCGTATAAAGAGGAATTATTTTACTAACACGCAGTATTAAAAAGGTTGACATCATAACAGACATCAGTTTTATTCAATTTTTCCAAATATATTTTCAGGGATTTCAGTCTGTCTGCTTGCCCGATACACACTCACCATGTATATATATATATATATTAGTGTGAGGCCATGGTTCAGTTGTTCATATACTTGACCATTAACCACCTGATCATAAGTTTCCAATGAACTATGGTGTTGAATTTTCTAACAAGATATTCTGATGTAAGCATCTGACAGATATATGCTAATGAGTATAAATGGGAATGCGAATTCAAAATACTCTCCCTTCCGTCGAGCTTTTTCTCATTTCTTTTGCTTTCCACTCAGGACATTGTGATTCAAGCTTGAGCTCTAAACTTTCAGTATTGATGGAGCTGCTCTTCTTCTCTCTTTTTTCAGGGCCTACAATATGGCTAGTAACCTAGGTGAGGTTTAGGAGTAAGTCATCAATGAATCGAATCCGGATCATGTGCATGTTTGGCCAGCATTCTACTATTAAACCACTATCAAGCTTACAACAAGTTAATTAAAAACGAAACAATGGGATATACGTTTAACTAATGCATCAGTGCAATTCCCTCAGTTATTATGCTGTGCGTGAAGATTCTAATTCACAAAGCAATGAAGTAACGTTGTTGTTCGATTTGAATCAGAGACAATTTAACTCAACTTAGTCATTCTCAACAGGGCAAATAATTTAATCAGGGGTCAACTGTTTTAGATCTTTGACTGTTATCGGAACGGCACAAAATTCAATTGAAAATGCAACAACAAACGTGGTCTATCTGAAAATATACATATGTATATATATAGTTAAGAAATTATTCAGTTATTTCCCCCATCGCAACATTTAATGAAGGCACCTCTTCAAAGCTGACAGCTTTTGCTGCTAATTTGAGCAAATATTGCAGAAAATTCTACTCTATGGTGTTTGAAGATAGGGTCGGAAAAGTTAGACAGGACTTTATCCCTCTGAAATCAATATGGAAATCTATTGCACTCAGAGACTGCGCCCATAACGAAAACCACTTCCAACAGGCTGTAGACTTTCGTCAACCGTTAACTTCGCTGCCTTGACACTTCATGTAAAATGGATAGAAATGATAAGCAACAAGTAACTCTGGCAATGAGCCTACCAACAGCCTATTGGTCAATAAATATGCAGATGGACGTGAATTTCACACCCAGTGAGGTGACTGCCAAGTGATGTCACATGCCAGCTGCTCAACTGGAAGTTGGATGAGAAACTACGAGTTAGGCGTGGGTCCTGGTGTGAAATAGAGGAGATGAAAGCTGATGGTGAATTAAGAAGTCATTGAAAAAACTTCAGGGAACAGAGTGGAATGGAGATTTTCTGCTGAAGCCCTATGTTTCACTAGAAACCTAAGGGAATAATAAATAATAATCACAAATAATTGCAACTAATCAAACTAAAGAACTCTGACTGTTTCAGTAGAACAAAAGTTAAACATTTTTATAGAAAGTTCATGTTATGGAATTATTGGTATATCAAAATCTGTTAAATTTCTAAGTTGCTTGTTTCATGCATATACCATTCAGAGTAAAACCAACTTATAAAGTATATCATCCAGTTGAACTGACGAAACATTTCATGTGTGGTCACGAATTGATTTTAGTAAGAGGACCACTGAAAACCAAAGTGTATTCAGCATGTGTTTCATCCTTGTATGGGACTGCTCTCCAGCACTAAGTACCCATGACTCCACCGGGAATCGAAGTTGTGACTAGTGGAATCCACAAAGTTGGGTATGGGGACAAATACTTGTCAACGACATGACTAGCTATGGTGCAAAATGTGGCCAACTAACAGAGAATAGATACCATAGGCTACTGGATCCTGTTCGGGTTCCTGGACGGTAAACGATGTTGCCTTGTAGCCTGAAGATCCAGAGTTGAATTTCTGGTAGGAACATCACTAAGTACCGATGAAGAGTCCCAGGTAGGGACGAAATAGCTATCCAGTAGTTCATGTTGATTTTCAGTGGTTCTCTAACTGAATTCATTTAGTGATTAAGCTTGAAATCAGTTAAACCGATACTTAACAAATAATTATTATACTGTTACACTTGAAAATATGTTAAAAGCTATTGTTCATTCAGTTCATTGGCTTACTTTCAATTGGAAGAGCTATTTGTTTCTCTAATTTGGCTCGAAATTCAACTGATTTACTCCCACTATATCGTGAACGCATACCATCGTCTACAAATATATAATGTGTATGATTGATATTCAACGAAACTGGATGGCCTGAAGCAACAAAATCAGACACTTCATATTGTATTGGTTTATCATGATTCTAAAAGTAAAATGGAAAGAAAATCAAAGCTGTGGAATAATGTTAACTGCTATAACAGACGATGAAAACATACTTTATTGGCATATTCGTGGGATGTATGACATCCGTTCTATTCATTTTAGCGCACAGTTTATTATTTCTTTATGACAATGGTTATTAAAACCTTTTTCAGTTAAAACAATGATCTTACCTTAGTGAAATCCACTTTCAACATGTAATAGTTTGATTTCAAGATTGATCAAAAACTGACTTCAGTCAGACAAGTGTTGAAAACCAGCATGGAGTACTGGACATCTATTTCTTTCTACCTCAGGGCTCCTTAGCAATACCCACCCTTGACTCTATCAGAGATCGGTCCCAGGACATTCAGCTTACAAGGTGAACTTGCTGATCACTCAACCATTAGGACATTAGACAACTGCCCATCGATTCTCACTTCTACCGATTTACGAACATGGGATGGTCAGCAGCCAACGTCATCGGTTAGCAATTGTCACCACACCCAACTTGATAGACCCCACAGTTCACGAATTCCTACTTGAATTTAAGGCAACTTTATCTTGTAGACAGTCATTAGGGAGAACTAGATTAATTAATTTTCAGATGTTGACTTGAAGGGTCTTGATAAGTTTCAAGATAGATTTAGTCCCTAACATTTATCTCTTTGAGAAACACAGAAAGTAGAACAACGTGGAGTTATTTATTTATTTATTTATTTATTTAAACGCAGAAAAACTTGGTACAATATAGCACAAAGAAAGATGCGCCACACAATAATAATAAAACAACATAGATTAAAAGTAAAAATATAGGTAGAAAACGGATAAAGAACTTCATCTGGAAGGAAAACAGTCATGTTTAAGAAGTTCAAACAGTATTCGTTAACTATCATCAGGAAGGGAAGAAAGAAGGAAATTGCAACACGTTCGCCATTGATAACGATTCTTGGCCATATCCGATAACGTTTCGAGCAATCGATTCGAGCTATCTCGCGGACCCCAACCAGGGAGTCGTGACACACCAACCGATGCTAATCTAACACAAATATCCTTCATCCCACGACGCCACGTCATGGACTGACCACCCCTCCTCCTTTTCCATCCCGTTTCATGGCTAGCGAGCAGAGACCTGTACGGAAGCCTCTGGGATGACATTCGCAGCACATGTCCAAGCCACCGGAGCCGGTATTTCCAGATGACAACACTCAATGAATGGTGATCTCCACTGTGTTCAAACACACGCCGCCGAACCTCAGAATTACTCACGCGATGATGCCATCAAACGCAAGCAATCCTGCGGAGACAGCGATGATTGAACACGCAGAGTCGCCGCACGTCCTCAGCTCGGAGAGGCCAGGTTTCACAGGCGTAGAGCAAGACAGCCCGCACCAAAGCATTGTATACCCGACCTCTGACAGCCAAACTAACATCGCGACGGCGCCAGAGGTGGCTCAAGTTGATGTATGCCACCCTAGCCTTCATTTTACGTTTAGAAATCTCATCCGTCACCCCTCCGCCAGCACTCACACAACTACCCAGATACACAAACTTATCAACAACTTCAAGCGGTTCACCCGCAAGAGTGAGTGCAGGTACAGGCCCCTGCCAATCTTGTAACAGTACTTTGCACTTAGACGGTGCAAAGCACATACCATACTTACTGACACTGATCGCCAACTGATTAAGTGCGAGTTGGGCAGCCTGCATGCTATCGCACAGTAAGACGATATCGTCTGCATACTCGAGGTCGAAAAGTCTATCTCCAGGTAGTGGAGACGTGCTGTTGAAACCCTATGTTCCACTAGAAACCTAAGGTAACAATAATAATATGATGGAAGATGATCAAATATTTAGTGATGTTTGTCAAATGCATTCTGAGTAGTAAGAATTTTTAAAATTACCTGCTTTTCGACTTAAACATTGTATGGCTTGACTAGACACTGTCCAACCTATCCTACTACTAAGATGGTTCCCCTAAATCGAACAATCAAAATTCAATAGGTAGCCTCCCCATGTTAACTCTAATAATGAACAGAAATTTGCATGGAGCTGAGATAGCAATAAAGAAAAATTAACATTTACCTCAGAAATAAGCGTTTCTCGATTGAATACATAACCCCATGGGGCAATTCCAAGACAACGAAGAGAACCAGATGATACATGTTTATCAAAATAAAAATTCTGATCTTGTACAACATCACCAACGATTCGTACAACACCAAAATTTAATCCAGATGTGACAATCCAGGCTTTAGTACTATGAGCTGCTTGAAGTAAACCCTTGTATGAAAAATGTAAAAGAATACAGGATTAAAAGGTTAGTAAGTGGCAAGACAGAAACTTATAATTCTGTAGGGTTTGTAATCATCATCCTCTAGTAAACTTCAAAACTGGAACGACAGTACAGTTTATGCAGTGATAAATTATGGTTCACTATCCTACCCTGTCTTAATTATTAGAAAACGGTTGACTACCAGTGCCAACTTTAAGGTTTCAGTGTGTTCCAGTCGCAGACGTTACTTTTCATCTACTCAAGCAACAACTTATCCTATACAGAATCTTTTCGGATTGCAAACAACCAAAGAACGTTCGAATGTCTAGTCTACGATGCTGACGCAATTCAGTTGATCAAGTTTTGCAATACTGTCATCAGCAGAACGGACTCGTGATCACAGTTCACTTTCAGATTGTCTTTCCTTTCAACGTATTTACAAGAGAATTAATTACAACATGTACTAAACTGATGCAAACAAATAGACATCACTTGTCATTGGTGGCTCAGGGCTAGAATACTAACCAATGACGTACGTGGTTCAGGGTTCGATTCCAGGCTGACACACTCCTAAACCTCGCTCAGACAATAGTAAGCTCGGTACAGAGGCTAGCAATCCCATACCGTAAGAAATAAACACAAGCTCCAGTGAAAACTTCAAAGCTCAAGTCTGAAACCCTATATTCCACTGGGAACGCAAAGGAATCAAATAAAAGTAATAATCAGAGACACTGAACTTAACACAGATACGGCGTTTCAAAGGGCACCAGTTATATTTTTAAATACCCTTGTCGAATTAACGATGAAATCTTAAGCGTCCTATTTCTGATCAGTTAAAGCCACTTGAGCAAAAGAAAACCAGCACTTTGGAAATTTCATTTCCGTCAAATTTAAGAGGTAATAGTGACATTATATTAGTTACAGGATTTCATCGTGACCTGACATCAGTTAGAGAACCATTGGAAAACCTGCAGGGAGTACTGGACAGCTGTTTCGTCCTAGTTTGGGACTCTTCATCAGTACGTACCCTTTGGGTTGGAACCCAGGACCTTCTGATTACAAGGCGAGCTCGCATACCATTAAGCCACTGGGACTAGATCCAATGGCCCATGAGTTCTAACTCCTGCCAATTCACGATATGGCGCAGCCGCTAGCCAATGTCTTCGGTGAGTATTTGTCCTCACACCCGACCTGCTGCCCCCTACTGGTCACGAAGTTAGAATTCATGGGCCATTGGATCGAGTCCCAGTGGCTTAATGGTATGCGAGCTAGCCTTGTAACCAGAAGGTCCTGGGTTCCAGCCCCGGTGGATGCGTACTGATGAAGAGTCCCAAACTGGGACGAAACAGCTGTCCAGTACTCCTAGGTTTTCCAATGGTTCTCTAACCAATGTCAGCTCATGATGAAATCCTGTAACTAATCAACCAAATCCCTACAAACCAATACTTGACATTATATTAGTAATATGCGTAGCATTTATCTACATGCTCTACTAGATTTCAGATGCTTCAGTAATACACTAACGCGCGTTGAGCAAGCTAGTCATCAAATCTGACATATCTTAAATGCATGGAACCATTAACTGGTGAACTGTAGGTGAGACAAAAGCACCATTTAGTTCATTTGATAACATGAGCCTAACATAGCTACAATACATTACAGTTTAAACCCTAACTGAATTATCTTCTAGCACCAGTTCCTCATATTATTTCTAATAGTTATAAAACACTTCCTGGTAAACTTTTAACCATTTCCAAAGCGATTTTTGTTTACATTAGTAAAATCAGTGAAGATAACTCAGCTCATAACTAACCGAATAGAAAACATCTTTTTTACATCCTTGAAGGAAAAACTCTTTTGTTCCACCAATAATAGATATGCATAGATTTGGTTTTTCTGGTTCCATCATTTTCCACTGATACTTGATCAAAGCCATTATATCCTCTAAATTGTCTTCGTCTGATATTCGAACAAACTAAAATTGGACAAAATCAAAAAGCGAAGTCACTTCAAAAATGCTGCAACACCTAAAATGTCAATTTTTTTGAAAAATTTATAAGCCCATAAATAAGAAAAGTTGAGAAACACAATCATGCTACTGTTTTATGTGGATTGGAAAATCCTGATACACTTACTGCAGATAATGAGACTATTCATGAAAAGATATTGTTTCCTGTATGCGTTTCTGTGATAAGAATTCTGTTTTAAAAAAATATACTATGGCGCTTACGTATGCAGATTGTCTCTTGTATATTTTAGAAATAAATGTGACTTGTTTCCTTCAGTGAGGTAGTGAACACGTTTACTGAAAGGCTGTTGTTGTAATGCCACATTACTGTAGTACTATTCACTTATGAGGTATTTATCATGGGTTTAAACTGTGTTACATTGGTCAATGAGCCCCCATTATATGAGCAGGAGTTTCAGTATCCTTGTTATGGTCCTCTATGCCTTCATGAGACTGCTTCTGATTTTAATAAGGAAAGTAACTTTTGAAACACACTTGGTACAAATAAATTTATTTTCCCATACAAAAAAGTACTGAATCATACGACATTATAACGTTTTATCAGCCAAGAAGTGATTGTAAATAGATGTAACTGGTAAATAGAGAAGCGCCTTTGGAAACTCAGTGTTAATTATGCTAATTTCTACGTAGATTCCACTACATACCAACATCAGTTTGAGAGTCCCTGAAAACCAGGGAGTGCTGGACAGCTGTTTCGTCCTAGTTTGGGACTATTTACTGGTGTGCACCCACTATCTCACAAGGGATCACACCCGTAATCTTCCGGCTTATGAGGCGAAGCCCTCTGACCATCCAGTCACTTATCTATGTTAATGAAAAGACTGATGAAAGAAAAAGTAGAAGCACTAATAGGAATCCATTGACAGTTATACAAGGAATACATTACTATCAGCAGACTGTAATTCATTGTACTTTGTCCCGGTAAGCTTTCGCTTTATATCTCACCAGTTTTGCTCACTTGATATAAATTAAACACTGAAACAGGTATTAATAACGAGAATCTTCATGATTCTTGTCTTCTGAGGGCAATGTCTTATCAGTTGCTAAGCAAACGCTTTTACATATAAAAGGCATTCGATATGCTAATGATGGTGTAAGATGTACTAGAATCATACTAATATCAAGATGTTTTGTCAACAACAACAACAATGATCTTTGCTTTAGTCAAATCAGACTATTTGCTTTTACTTTTAAAGACTACCTGTAGCATTCAACTTCTGGATAAATTTCCAGTAATGTGGCGGACTGTTTAGACTATTAGCGATGAGAATTACAACCATATCTACATATATACAGAAGAAACGATAAGCAAAATAAGAATACATAATGGGTGTTAGGCGTCTCCATGTGTTTAAAAAAGTGTGATTACAGTAAACAAGTCATAATTATGGAGTAGTTTTAAGTGAAAAACATCTGTTTTTATTATTATCTCCTTGTATTCCGAGATGAAAGTACGACTTCAACAGAACATCTCCATTCCACCCTGTTTCCTGCAGTTATACTACTACCCATAAACTTTCTTCTCGCTACACTATCTCCTCTACATCATCCTTGGACTCCCATACCGTCATTTCCTATTCGATATCCACTCAGACACCTGCCTAACTCACAACTTCACTCGGCGGTCCTTTTAGAGTGTTTCCAATTCCTCTCCATTTCCTTTGGCATATATGTTGAACAATAGGTCCTTGGTTGGTCCATTCTTTCAATTCTCTGTTGCTTATTCTTCCTGGCCAACTGATATTTAGTATCAAGCAAATGCAGCTGGTGACTGAAGTCTGTAGGCTGTTGGAAATGCTTTTTGGGACGTAACAAGACTCTGAATCATATAGAAGCGCTGACTGAGTTGACATTAGGGTTAGAAATCCTAATCATGTTCTTTATGATGATTTCAGCAGATTTCCGTACTGACTTCAAGCTAATGAACATCTCTGTCAGTTTGAAGATCCCCGCTGGCTTTGACATCCTTATCGTAACCCTGGTAGTTGAAATGTTAGCGCTTGGGTAAGTGAAAGAGATGACCCTGTCCAAATTTCTTCAATTAATAATGACTGGTGCTCATCGTTGTTTAGTACCTAGCAGTTAGTGTAAGTGCACCACAAAGTAAAAAGGAATAATAAGAATATTGATGAAACTGACTTGTCACGACCTATGATTTTATTTTACGCCTTTCAGAGACATACACTACTAAAAGTAGGTCTTTGTTAAACTTTAAAGACTGAAAACTCAGGACAGTTTTCTAGGAAGCATATACAGAACAACTCTCGTTTGCAGTAGCGCTAAAGATAATATCTAGCCGGATACTGTGAGGTGTGTCAGCACAAACCAAAACTGTGGGAAGAGTGAGACTGGCAAAGTATAAGAGCCACATTCAATCCAATATTAGCACATGAATAAAAATTTGAAGATAGTTTAGCGCAACAGTGTAGAACTAAGCAGTTAACATCAACCAGAAGTATTTCTCAAGATCAAATAATTCCAGTGTCGCAGCAAGTGTTTTGAAGATTTAACTTCAATGTAGCTTACCTCGTCAACTGAAAGTTCTGGGTTCGATTCCTAGTGGGATAGTAGGTGTGCATTGATGAAGACTCCAACAGTAGGACAGAAAAGTTGGAAATTAGTCCCTAGTTTTTAATTATTCTCTAACTGATGTTAGTTTATTATAAATTATTTAAATTAATCCCAGCGTGTTAAGAAAATCAAAACAAGATTTTTCTGAACGTTTCGCTGTGTAAGCCACAGCTTCTTCAGTAGATGTTAGTTTACTCTGAAATCTACGCTGAAATTGACCCAGATCCCAATGAAGCCTATGATCTAAAAATTCAAGTGTGAAACATCGGACACCTATTTGTTTGTATAAATGATTACTTAAAAATAAATCAGTAATTAAGAAACAGTCAAACCGGTCAGTTGTTACAAGTACCTCTGCTGATTTTTGAATAGGCTGGTCAGAAAATTCAGCCTGACCAAAAGCATTTGTGGGTCCAATAATTTTTATATCTTCTGATTCTGACCATATTTCACCGTTTCTCCCAGTCAATTCCTCACCTAGAACGTTGTAAAGATTACTCTCATAACTTACTGATAAAGTGCTTGGACTCGATTTCCCCACAATGGCACCTATAACAAACTGGTTTTTATTTATTAGGCAGTATTACGTGACACCCCCATCAGGTCTTCTAGGTTTATTCGGATCTGGCACGAATCTTACGCATTCTTTATATCTAAACCTCTGCTGTATAAAGCTATTCTTATCCTAAACAAATTTCATCATTGTTTTTCAAGTTATTTTGAATTATTGTAAGCGAACCTCAGTGACACGATGTGATTCTTGAGGACGTGAAAGTAAACCTTTGAAACGTGCTCTTGCCTGTACCACGGTTAGAAGATCGATGGGTTTACCTAGAATAAATTTAAGAGGATAATAAATAAAAAGATTAGTGTGAAATTAATTCAGATATTGGTGATGACGCTGAATATAAGATGAAACATGTTTTTCGAGTTATAAGTAAAGATGTAAAACATCAACACAGAAACGCATAAAAATTAAATTGACCTCTTACTTATCTACAGGCAAATTCTAAGTATTTCGAAGTTTAGAACACTTATCAATACTATCAGCTTACAAATTAACAGAGTCACAAATTTATCTGTAACTTAGACTAAGGATGACAACTGTTTCTACTACTTAAATGTAAAAATAGTACAGTATGTACGTGTAGCAATGAACCACATAAAGTTATACAATACTGATATAAAAATAAAGTGAAAAAATGTTGAGGAAAAGCATGAGAGAATACTGTGGTGTAAATTCTTGTTAGTGTTCATCAGTGCGCATTACTTTACATAGCAAAGGGAACAGAAGAAATCTATTGTATACTGTTTGCTAACTTCATTTTTTGACTATATTGGTAGGGCCTCAAGTGGTTGGTTTTTGAGAGTTTTTGGATTCTACCCAAGAAGTTGTCGGTCACTCATAAACGCTGATTCTAGTATATGATACCTAATCTTGCAGTAACACTTCAGTCACCGATAATCTATCCACCTCTTTCAGTCACTCTTATGTCTAGTATATATCGGACGAAATGAAAGCTGCCCTTATGACCATTGCAACACATTCTAAAGATACTAAAATTGTCTTTCCAGTAGAATTTTATTTGTTGACAAATGACTACCATCTTGCTCAAGTATGGATCGCTAAACCTCAGAACTAACTACGCAGTGTTGACATAAGACAGAAACATCCCCACAGAGGTAAGTACTTAAGTTTGCAGTTACTGGACATCCTAACCTTAGTTCCGTAGGTGTAGAACAGATCTGTAAGCATCAAAGTGTTGTAAATCCAACTTTAGACAGCAAGTTGTGGCAGGAGTAACTGGGACCAGCGTGTATTTGACAGCCTAGCATAGTTTTCCAACAACCTTACAGAAGTAGTCTGCATATTAGTAATGCAAGACAAGCATAACAGAATTTACAGTGGACGAAGTGAATATTAGATCAAATTTAAGGATAATATCGTATCTTTGAAAAACTTTGGACCAACAATGTGTAGACTTTGAGTGATTTTCATGTATAGAATTTTTCCCAGAACACTCATCAAGTAATTAGTCAGTTTAAATGAACAAAATAAAAAAGTACCTAATCATGCAGCTGGTAACAATCTGAGAGGCGTGTCACCTGGAGAAATCAGCTAAAAGAATTCAAAGATATTGAAGAATATATCTGGTGTTGATAACAACAACAGTAATATTACTAATATCTGCTGCAAAGGAATGTTAACTTGTGAGACTGGACAGATTTCTTTCTTTTTTCAAAAGCGAAGTTCAGTGTGGGGAAATATACAAATCCCCCAGATATCGAAATGGAAGGGAAATTTATGAAGGTCTCGCCAAGAAGAGACCATTTTGTACTGGACAAATTTTGTCATCTATTATAAACTTTTGAGTAATGGAAGCTTTAGATTTAAGCATTTAAGCCATTAAACCCACTTTGAAAATTTGTATTTTTTAAATATTCATACACTCAGGAACTCCATTTGAAATTTTTCGCTTGCGCATGATAAAATATCCTAAGCATATTATCATCTCCGTAGGTGATTTATCCTGCAAGTCACTTCACTTCCGAAGTGAATATTCATTACCTAATTTTCTAATATTTTCAGTGTTTAAAGTCAATCTTGATACCAGAGACCAAAAAGAGTTTGATTAGGGACGTTTAAATAAGATATTAGTCTTAAAAGTTGCCACAAACATATTACCAACAAATGAACCTACTACAGGTATACCTTCCGCTAAGATACTTATTCTATTTATTTTTCATTTTGATGAAGTAGGACTCAAGAATGAGCTCGTGGATAGTTTTATTAAAAGGACGTAGTCATGATGATTTGAAAATATCTTCGCCTGTTATCAGGTTCCCACATATAATTGGAAACCGAAAACACCACTTGTCAATTATTACAACAATCTTGTGTCACAAGCTTTTCAACTGATTTTCTATAAAAACATATTCAAAACCAATTGATCTTGTTTTCATGACTTTGTAGCTAACCTGTCAGAACCTTGTCAGAACCAGTTGCGCGATACATAGTAGAAAAATGAAATGTGCGATGTATCTGTAGGTCGTTTCATTTTTAGGCGATAGTGAGTACTTTGTTCTATGGTGTTCACTGAGTGGTACTACAAAATTATTGATAAAAAAGTAAAAGCAACACATAATATGAATAAATTATGATAAATAAGTAATAACCGTAACTTTAAATTGGTCACAACAGTCTCTATATTACATTTAGTTTGCTTACGCATTTTATTAGCCTTATAAAACCGTGGGTTATTTGCCATAAGATTTTTCAAGAAGTTTTGGAAAGTTATTAGGTAGTCATTTAGGTAATTAGTGACTTAGACAAATAAGACTTCATCTGCAGAATTCTTCAAGAAATGACTGCATTCTTTTGATTAGGTTATGAAAAGTCTGGGTATCAGATAAAGAAGTAATTACTATAGTGACTAAACGGCAGTTAAACAGTGTGAAAAACTGACACAGGATGTCTAAGATATAGTGAAACGTATTTCAGAGTGCACGCACCTAAACAGGGCGATTTCGGTACTTTACTGTTCCGCTGGGTTCGTTCACACACACTTGCAGAGACTTTCCCTTAACATTTTATGGCCATGTTGACTGACACACTTCCTAAAGTAATCTCAAGTAATTTTCTCTTAGATTTTTCCTCCATGAGTCATTCTTTATTCAGCGTCTTGGACGCTGGAGTGGCGAACATCTCCATATGATCAATAGCCTATAATAGAAAAGGCGTTCAGTGAAGACTTTATCATCAGGCAAAACTCTATGCTAACACTTGCTATTTAAGGTAACTGATGGCTTTCTGTGCTCACTCAAGCTAAACATACATCCAAGCTTAACTGCATTCATCCAAACATGTGTTTCTCATTTTTAATTATCTTATTATTTTCTTAACTTGACTTTCACCGTTTTCTGGTTCACACCAAAAGACTATCTGGATCAGGTAATAATATAAGCCTACAACAGTGCTCTCGTTGTTCTGTACAAGAACGAATATATTAACGCCACTCACGAGCTAGAAAAACCACACTTTCAGTTAGTTATTGCAATAATAACAATGGATTTTTATGTGTACATATATGTATATACATACATTTTTCATAACCTCAACAATTTTCAGTGTAAGCAGTGCTACACATCTAGGCTAGTCATGTGGAGCTGTTTGCTATAAGCGGACAACATCGGTTGCTGCACCCCCCTTTGATCCCGATATAAGCCAACAAGGAAGTGACCGGTTCTCATTAAGAACGCATACTCTCAAGATATTGGAAAATGGATTGGAGTAACCATGTCAGTAAGATAAGAATTCACTTTTTACCGGTATCGACAACATGAAGAGCACTTTCACAAGATCATCTACGAACATAACACTCTCACTGTCCTAATAAATTATCCCTTGGCAACTACGATCTAATGCTACTCCTTTAGGAGTGACTCCGGCGCCACAATTCCTTCTAAGCAATTTTAGTAGTTTACATATATTTGTACAGCATTGTGAACTACAGGAATAGGAGACAGTAGCTTTTCCGAATATCAGTGTTATCTTAGACAGCATAGATATAAATAAATAAATAAATAAATTTATTCTCATAGTACAGTACATGAGGGACGCCAGTTTACAGGCATCATCAAATTGTTACAGAAATAGAACCATATAATTTAATCACAATTTACAGCCAGTAGCAAGATATGCTTTACATGTTCGATGGAGATTATACATACACTTGATAAATGTTAATTCCAGTAGTATAAAACAGCCTTTTCACTTATATACAATCATTTCTGTGCAAAGTTGGAAAAATCTGCTAGATTGTCAGTGAGTGCAACACAACAGGAAATACAGGAGTATTGTCTTCGCATTAACAAAAAAACCAGGTCTTTGGTGGATGGATTATAAGTGCCTGGGAAAAAAATAAAGCTTGAAGTAAATATTCATACATAACTTTGTTGTGTGCAGAGTCCTCGAATTATAGTTCATTGATGTGTTATTTTGAAATCAGTGATGTGTTTATCTCATTTGATCTGCAATCTCATTGTTGGGAGTAAGTACATAAGCTTCGGACGCATTAATTAATGGATTTCTACTGATTACGGGTATTTTCTTAGCGTGAGGAAGGTTTATGTATTTCAGCTGTTCCGACAGGAGTTGAGAATATTAACTGCTCAGCAACATTATGGGTATAAGTTCATCACATTATCTAAGGAAAGGTGGGTTGCAGTTGGTGACGGATATATGGTGCCCAACGAGCGTTCATCTGTCCTTGTGATGTTGTGGTGAGTTATACCTTTTTCATGTTGTCGGTTTATGTCCATTTTATTCCAATTATTGTGTTGGGTAGTAGTTTTACAAACGAGATTTCTTGTCTGTTTGAGGATACGTATGTTAACCGTTAATGTTTTATCTAGAATTATAAATATAGGCAAAAAACAACAGGTGTAGTATTTAAGCTTATACATTAAATGGACCTATAATTTCGGAGGCTCTCAGATAGGAACTAGAACTAATATCGTTTGCAAACTCTTGTAGTTTGTCATTAAGCACCTTTTTGAAGGAGGCCAATGTACTTGCTTGACGCATTTCCATTGGCATATATCAGACCCTCACAAGCCACATTGTCAGGAACACTCCACACACCCGTTGTAAAAACAGAAAGGCAAGACACGGAAGCCGAAACATATTGTTCATTAATCAAACCTCTGTTTGTATACCTACAGTTTAAATTCTTTAACCAATCAATGAGCTTGTGGCTCCCGTCTACATCAAACGACAAGAAATACAATGTTTAAATATTCTGTTGCCAATACAGTAATGAATTGTGGGAATGTATTCTGTCTCTAACATCAAATAGAATGTTTAAATGGATATATCGTATTCTGTTGTTAATGCCGAAATGAACTGTGGGAACATGTGAGAATAACATTCAGTTGGCACACATTGTCTGTGTCACACCACTACACTCTGATACCTCCAATATTGCACCTTCAAGCGCCACATTTCCCCCTTGTTTATCACTCTGCATTCGTGTCATTTAGACCGTCTGTGGTTCATCAGACTGCTGTACATCTTTTGTTTGTGTTAAGCAATTGTCTTCTTGGTATTTGGGGGCCAGATAACCTCGCATTTGAAGGTTCGCACCATGTTTATGTGATACATTTTGTTAAGTAGAATAATAAACCTATAGTTCATTGACAGTTTGATGCCAATATTATTATACTGGGAACATTCTGGTTTTGTTTCGGTTTTAATAGTAGACTGCGCGACCGTTTCTGCAGGGCGCTATTCCTTCAGTGACTGCACCACCTCAATTCAACGAATATCCCCCCTTACTTACTGCCAACTGTAATGCGGTGGACTGGCTTGTCACTACTATCAAAGTCTCTTCGTTCGAGTCAACATTTATCCACCAATTCATTTGCAAGCCTTTGAGTCAAGTGGAAAGTTTTGCAATGATACCTGAATACATTTCGCTGTGAATAATTCCTTCTCGTTTCGCCCCAACAAAGGCTTTACGGGTTCGAAAAAGCATCTTTAATACGTACCCCAAATCTAATGATCATAAATGAGGCCTGATACACTTGTATTTACTTCTATTGACAATTATTCCTCATTCGTAGGAGACGGACTTCATTACAGAAGGATGTGCGACGTGTCATCTCCATCAGCTCAGATATCAGGCACGAAAACACTTCATGATAATAATAATATTTTATTCACATAAATTAATCATTTACATGATTGACGTACCATTTGTACAGGCATGATCACATTGACAAGTGCAATTTTAGATTGAACACTGTGTTAATAGAAGGTAAGAAGAAAAATGATACACAGGTGCTGGAGTAAGACACACAGAATGCAGAGCTTACAATTATCATTCTCAGTTAATCAGTTATAAAGGGTTTAAAGGTTTAGGAAACTGCACATTAGAGAGTAAGTACAGTATAATAATGGTATTAGCAGATACAAGGGACCAACTCCGCGTTGATAAACAGACTTCATGATGGAGGTTGTTTCGTTATTCATCATATGTGCTAACATTATTCTGAATACCTACTAAATATAGCTTCTAGTGATTTCAAAACTCCTTTCAAGTTATACAGACGTAGAGAGCAGCATTACTGTTCACATGCAGTACCTCTGAAAAGAGAAAATGGAAGAGAGCGGCAAGAGAGGTAAAGAGGCAGCCAGCAAATATTAATAATTTAAGCAAACAACATGTGATAAACGCAGTATTCATCCCCTTTTTTATTACTAAGAATTTATAGATATTGAATTACAAAGTATTACATACTAACGGTTAGTTCAAGTTTATGGTAGTAAAAAAATAAGAGAGAAGCGAATGATGGTGGTTGTTCCCGCCGAAAAATGACCCCATGCTGACGAACGATGATTAAGTTAGTAAGCTTTGTTTTGATACCATAACAGATGTACCATTACCTTTGTTATTTGGTTTAGTGATCTTCACTGTTATTTTGGCTTTCAATATGTCCTCTTAACTTGACCTAGGTCTATTTTCTCACCTCTTAACTCTTTGTTATATATATGCTGAGATTTTGTAAATTCTGGTTTAATAATACTTTGATGAAACTATTAGAGGCATTAAATAGCGAAACGTCAGTGAAAACAATATCGCTTTGTTTTTCACTCATTGGGAAATACAAAAACCTTTGTGAATATCATAGACCCAATGCCCAAATTTTTTTAAACTGTAAAAGTGAACTTGGTTTGGACATATATGATGCAGACATAGCTGAACTCTTTAACAAGCACTTTTCTGACTCATACACACAATATTTCGGCATACATTGAATTTGGCTCTGTAACAGGCAAAGCACTGTCAAATATATGCTTGACTTTTGATGTTATAAAAAGTGCAGTGTGTTCATTGAGATTCTCCAATACTCCTGAACCTGACTGAATTCCCTCATCCTTCCTAAAAAATGGTGGCCGCAATCTCCCTTTCCTTTTGCTTAAAATATTCTCAACTTCCCTAATGAACGGAGTTC